TTGTAACCTGTGAGATGGTATCTTCGAAGCTCATTTGGCACCATTTAAATGCTCGCATTTCTAAGCAGGCTATTTAGGAACCAAAGCTCAGCTGGAATCGACTTTAGCTGGTCTGGTGCTGCTAAAAACCCTTGTAATGTTTTGCCAGGAATTTCAAGGAGAATGCCCAGTCAGAGCAAAGCATTTAAGGACAAACATGACTTTTTTTCTAGCAGATCCATCAGCAAAATCCTAAATAGTCTGGAACTATGTCTTTTATTTGATAACCCACACCAAAACACCACTATGTTTTGTAGCTAATGCCCCTTTAATTGGAAAATTAATTGCAACAACAACTTTTGAAAAGGCTGGAAGATTAATTCCTTCTGTCCTGCGTTTCACCAAGATTTCAAGCAAAAATCCCAAATGAACAAGAAAAATAACTGTTCTTTTTCTTGAGAAGCAAAAATCAGGAAGATGTGCAAGTGCTGTAAAAATGGGCAAAAAGCAAATTCAACCTCCAATTCTGCACCACGAAAAACGGTGATTTTGTAACAACTATGGTAAAAACAACACGACCTTTAACATGGCCTTCAGCTTCTCACACAACTCAACTGCATGCTGAGCCTCTTTCCTCCAAATTTTACCCCAGCAGAGACTCTGTAACTGGTCCTTTTGTACATCCACTGATAGATCAACAACCCAACCTCAAGGTGAATGATTTTATCAGTCACCTACCGCCAGCAGGCAAGGAATGCCCTGAACTATGAGACTATCTTGACAATAAAAATATTGGAAGTGATTGCATTATTTCCATGATTTCTTGAGCCATTCTGTTGCTCTGTTCCAGCCCCACATATTCTCCATATTTCTCCTGCCATCACCCTCGTAAAAGTGGAAAACAGGCAACGTTTTGGGGCTGTGCAACTGAGAAACTACAGGAAAAACCACATTGCTCTGCACGAGTCTTGCTTCTGAAGCAGAAATGCCTACTCTGGCCTGGCCTGAAGCCTTGTGAGACTGACCCACTATCCCAGACCAGGCTTTCTGATGGAGCAGTGATGCCCATCCAGGTATTAAGTTAAAACCCCAGTTATTACCCTGACTGTCTGAGTGGGCTCAAATCAGAGTGTGCACTTAAACAGCAACAGTTCTGATGTTTGGATTTTAAAGAGAGCATAAAATACACTTAGCAGAGTCCTGGGAGCAACAGAGATGGGGAGAAAGGTGGGCAGAGGGAGGAAAGCAAAGGTGTGTGGGCAAATGGACCGTGTGAAACAGCTCAGTGGTATCAGAAGTTCTGCACAAACAAAAACCAGAATATGTTGAGTGAGCGAGTAGATAAGAGCCACAAGACAAAGCACAGGGAATTCCCCCAGGGCAGAAAGCCTGATAGCCCGAAGAATCTCATTTTTCCTGGGGGCAAAAGTGGTGGAAGGGGGAGAGTTAAAAGTTCAGCTCCCTCACAGCAGCTGATTTTGAGCTGGGTTCTGCTCCCTGCCTGCAGGGAGGGCTGGGGGAGGAACCAGCCAGGCAGAAGCACTAGCTATGTGACAGAAAGAGGAAGAAAAAACACACATACTGCTATTTTTAAAGATGCCTGAAGCACTAGTTCCCTGTAGCCTTCTCCATTTTTAAAGAAGAAAAAGCTGGTTAGTGAGAATTCCAGTTTGTAAGACAAGGAATGTGAGGGCAAGACTATTCAGAGCTGGGCAGGGCAAGGGCCAAAGCAGGGACAGGCTGGGACAAGAGGTACAAAAGGAACAGATCACAGAAATCACATTAAAACCTTGCAGAAGGAAACTTGGAGACAGCAAAAGCTTTTGTCAACTCCCCTGATCACCAGGAGCATGAGCAGGAGAGTGAGGTTATTACTTTAAATCACAGAATCCTGAGATAGCCCAAAAAAGCACAGTGCAGGGAGATCCTCTCAGATTATTCCAGTCTCAATCTGCCAGTTCCTAAATTGCAGTAATTTAGGAAGTGCCCTTGGATTTAATTTGATCATTTCAACCATCTTCACTGTCCCCCCAGTAAAGCAAATATTTTATCTTTTCCTCAGTGAAGACCTTCTTTTTCCCCACGTGGTGTTTTGTTATCCCCAAAAAATAAAGTCACCCCAAAAGAGTGACTTGAGGGTAAAGCACACCTCAAATGTAATTTCCTGTGGGATTGTAACAGATAATAACTGAAAGGCAAGACAGGGATTTTTATGCCAGGAAAATTGGCCTGTGTCTGCCTGGTACATAAATAAGATGCCTGTGACCTAGAAGGGCTCAGAAATAGCCTTTTTATGAGTTCTGAGAGTTACCATCCTGTCACACAAAGGATGTGCTGGCAGGGAACTGCTGACTTACAGAAGCAGCAGCACTAAGCCTCTCATCTGAGGATGTCCATGTGCTTCCAGAACTGAATCCCTGAATCCCAGCCTGATGGAACGCTGTCACCTGGCTCCACCTACCTAAAAACCAGTGGGGGAGAAAGGAGAGCACAAACCTGTGCCAACAATCCAAACAACCTCAACTCCCATTTCCCTCCAGGGTTCCAAATGCTCCCCAAGCCCACAAACATTTACAGCTTTATCAGTATACCAATGGAAGTTATATTGAATTTATAACAAGTTCCCAATTTCCAGGTGAGGCCAGAGGGACAGTGTTTTTATTTCCTTTCAGGAGTCCAGCTCAGTCCTCCTGGGAACTGTGGTGAGCTTTTTTGTGTCCTGGCTCTCTGCAGTCCTTTGCCAAGCTGGGAGCAGCACAGCCCTGGCTGGAACCAGTCCCTTCGCTGTGGCTGAAAGGAATTTTTGCCTTAAATTCTCAAGGGCTCTGCTAGGTTAGGTTTGAATGACTCTGGTTTGTGTTTCTGTCTGGAATAACCAGGTCTGAGCTGCTTTGGAGGGAAGTTCATTCCACACTGAACAGACAGAATGTTCCCAAGACAAATCTCCCAGTCCCCAGCTGTGACTGAGCTTTCTTTACTGGGCAGGTCAAGGGGGGTGCAGCAGAAGTGCCCCCCACTCCCCCCAGCACCACCCAGGGAGGTGGAATTTAAATTCAGAAGGGGAAGGAGGTGCTTGACTTCCCTGGATCACAGCTGGATCCAGCTTGTTGCTGAGACCAAACCCTCCACAAGGTGAATTTCTCCTTGAGTGCAGGATCTCCACAACCCAAGGTCAAATTCCCTCCCAGTCCAGAAGGTGAATGTGTCAGCAAGTGAAAAAAAAAAAAAAGCAAAGGTCACAAAAGAATAAAACCCAAGAAAGGTGATTCTCTGCATGACCATTTTCTTTCTGAGCTTAGCTAAGGGATTTGGAGCTGCAGTTTGCTAAGAGAGAGGGTGGGGAAGCCAAGGTAAGCAAAGGATTTATAATGCTACAAAAAGTCTTCCTCGTTCTTTGTTACTGCTCACCTACAAAACACAGGTAAATACACTGCAGGAAAACTCCTTAGGGTGGTAAATCATTGATGGGAGACATTTGCTGGTGGACTTATTATGGATCAAATAACATTTACATCTTAAATTTAAAATTGTTTCCCCAGGAAAGAGATCAAGGATTGTTTACTGAGGGTACAACCCTTCTTTTGCTAGAGGACAAAAAAAATTAACTCTGGCTCCTCTGACAAGACCAAAGAACCCCCCCCAGATCCTGACCTCATTTATAGTCAAATATATCAAAATTTCATGTTTATGGAGTAAATCCAACTTCCCAGCAGCACGTAAGGAGAGAGGAGCAGGTCTTTTCATAGTTCCAATTTCTGACTCCTGCAGTCAGTGTCGTGATGTAAATCCAGCCCACAAGTACCCCTCTGGTGTCACCTGTGAGCACGTTCATCAGGTGGCCCTTTTCCAAAGGGCTCTTGGCCCAGGTTCTCCAGGTCTGGGTCATTCACCCTTCCTGTCCTAAACCTTCCAGGCCATTCACTCAAGAGCTGCACTCCATGACCCTTGGGGGTCCCTTCCCACTCGGAATATTCCGCGACTCTGCTCAGCCTGGGGATCCTGGAGAGCTCAGTGCTTCGGGAAAGAGGCTTTGGAGAGCAGTTTCACCTGCCAGGAAGTGCCTGACCTCAACACCCAGGGCCACAAGAGGCCTTTGACCCACACAAGGTGTTGACTTCCCTGTTGACCACAACCCAGCTGTCGCCTCCCTGGCGCCGCTCGCAAAGGTCAGACCCGGGCACTTGGGCTCTCCAGGAGGGTTTAGTAAGAGCTGGGCTCATGGAAACCCCCAGCTTTCCTCAGCACCACGTTCTTCACTTTATCTGTGTTTGCCTTGGCATGTTTTGCTCCCAAGGAACGGGCTCCTTAGCAGCTCTTCTCCCCACGGGAATAGCCCAGGTGTGGTTTGGGAAGGGCAAAATAAAGAGCTGTTTGCTTGGTGGCTCCAAGGTGTGGGAGTGATGGGCTGCAGCAGATTTCCCACAGGGAACAGTGCACATTTTGTGGTATTTTTGGGCTTTGATTTGTCAGAACTTCCACCGGCTGACAGATGGGTGAGGGGGAGATGGGGAATCGATGCCTATTGCTTTTGGTAGATGTAAGTGGTATTTCTCTTTTTCAGGGTCTAATACTCCCAAGTCAGTAAAAGGCAACAAGGAAAACCAAGTTTCTTCTTCCTCAGTTCAAGTTTCTTCCAGTTCTCCTAATGACTGGACACCTGACTTACTCAAAGACAAGGTTTTGTCCTGCTTCATTTCTTCCCTTGGGCATCAGTTCCTTGCTGAAAATACAACACCACTTTCCCATGAGCCACTCAATTCTTCCAAGATTGCCACAGAGTTCTCACAAAAGCAGACACAGGTGATTCTCACTGCACGTGAATCTCACTGAGGAGTCCCAACAACTCTTTGCTTATTTGGGGGCCACGGTTAAAAAACTACACTTTGGAAATGACTTTGTTTAATTCAAAGTATTTGCAGCATAAAAACCAAGTGCTGCAAGTTTAAACCTGTCTGTGAATTTATCTGAGATCAATGTACCACTGGGTGTTGCAGAGAGAAAAGTCCTGCTCTTGGTGATTAGGTTTTACAGCCTTTTTTATTTTTTAATGGGAACCTTGAGAAAGAAGAGTACAAATCTATAGGTTTTGCAAGATGATCAGCATTTTTACACACAGTTTTAATATGTTTCTCATTGTGCTTCATATACAAATGCTCAGCACAGCAAATCAGGAGGACTGATGAATCAACAGGCCTGTGTAAGATGGGACAGGGTCCATCCCATGAAGATATGAGCTATCTCAGGAGCTATAAAGTTATTTCTGGTAGCTATGAAATCAAAGCTAAAATTACTAGCAGCTTGTGAATTGAACACTTCAACGTTTCCAGAAACAAAACTACTGTGTTGAAGATAAACCCACTTGGGGCTGCAGCTTGTCCTCCTGCCAATGCCTGTGATTCACCCTGTGTCTGTGAGGATCAAAGCCACTGGGCATTTCCCTGGCTCCAAACTCATTCCCTGCTGAACTAGCTCAGTGCACTGTTTGCTCAGAAATGAAGCACTTGCTGCTTCAGGCTCCTGGCAAAAACCCCCATAAATTCAGTGTGTCATCAAGGAATAAACCAACACATCGGGATGGCCTCCAGAGCTCAGCACCAAGCAACTCCTTCCCTCTGCCACTACTGCTGTCTCCCAGTTCCTTTGGAAGTTTTATTTTCCCTGGTTTTATTCCTCTTGGCCTGTGGGGAATGACTCCTTTTACCTGTGGTAGAAACACACCACGCTCATGGACAGTGCTGGGGGACCCAAAAATAGGCCAAGCATTGGTTTCACTCAGGTCAGGGGCTCACCTGGGGATGGGACTTCCAAAAGCAGCTTGGCTTTTTTGCCAGATTTTCTAGTTTTCAGCTCTGGTTGGTGAAACTTTGGAATCTTCACTCTTCTTCAGTTGAGCTGCAGAGAGAAAAGAGAAGATCCCACATAATCCTTGTACTTCCATGTACATGTCACATCATCCACAACTCCAGGACTTCACACACAATGCAAAGAGATTAAGAAGCATTTTCTCCTTCACTTAACTAGTTTTCTAGTTCTGGGGAAAAAAATGGTTTCCCACTTATACTATAAATTAAAAACCCTCTTTACTTCAGGTTTTTACTCCTCACAAGTAACAGGTTATTCTCTCCTCTCATGTTTGAGACCAAGGTTATAGAAACATTTAACTCAGGCTCATACCCAGGAATTTTGGAGTGGTCTTTCAGCAGTGGGGTGGAAACAGCTTCTTGGGAACCTTCCTCTCCTCTACAGGATAAAAGCATGGTATTAAAGCCAGAACCTTTCAAAAGAAACTTCAGCTGGAAGCACACAGAAGGCAAGGATTCGAGGGCAGGAAGCTACAAAGAGCTTTGGCAATGAAACAAGAGACATGTCAGCTATGCAAAGGTATCCACATGGAAAAATACCCCAAATCTGGGAGCATTTCAGTTGAGTTCTAGGATTCAGGAGCTCAAAGTATCTTCCTTGGACATATGTATATTTCTGTCAGATATTTTCACTGGACTTTTTATTCTCACAGCATTTAAAGGTTCCATACCTGAGTGTGTCAGAGGAAGGATTAACCAGGTGATGAGCACAGCCAGGGGCAGCCTCTGGAAGTGCCACAAAGCACCATCAGGAACATTGCCTTTGGCACAGGGAACACACTGGGAGGCTCAACCACAGTTTCACACTGGAACTTTGATCAGCAGAAGCTCATTTCAGACCTCAGAGCCACACACAGCACTGAACCATAGATGTTCCTTCTCAGGGACCCCAACCAGCCCTTCCTTCTCAGGGACGCCAACCAGCCCTTCCTTCTCAGGGACGCCAACCAGCCCTTCCCTCTCACAGCCACAGCAGCGTTTGATGCTCTCCAAGAGAGGCAGAACTTCACACAGAGTGTTGAAAAGGGCCTTTTCGTTTCCTGTTCAGAGAGGCACAAGTCAAGGCAGCCAAAGAAAAACCATCAGCCCTCTGACCCATCTCCAAACACCAAGTTCAGTGTCCCTGCACTCCATCACTCTTATCAGCAGTTCCAGGGAGCCAGCACCCTTTACATGTGAGGAGACTTCACAGCTACTCCAGACAGTGCTGGACGTCCAGGAGATTCCATATAACACTATAAAATGAGCTATCAACAGTAAATCCTTCAGAAGCAGGATAAACCCAATGATTGCACCACTCCTCGTTTTTATTTGTCCTTTCCAAGGGGCTATTAACCGAGCATGAAGAGATACACTGTGAGACTCTGCTCTTTTCATTGATATTCTTTGGTTTGGTGGGGAAAAATAAAAAAAGGAAAAAGACCCCAAACATTTTTGAAACCGAGTTGTTACTTATAACTGAAGTGCATTTGTTAAGAAAACCAGTGGGGAAAAAAAAAACACAACTTTGAGCAAAATTCCACATGCATAACTTTTTTTTTTTAATTTAAAACAAAACAACATTTTCATTGAGAAACTGCTACAGTAAAAATCTGACAAATTGTATTTACTACTGCCTTCCACCCTGCCTTTTACAAATAGAACCCCAAATCCCCAGAGATAACTTTATCACCTGCTGGGTACCACGTTTCCCTGTGGATATCAGAGGCAGCAAGCACTGCAGGCTCTTACCTCCATGTGGGACTGTTACAAACATATCTGCTGATAACCTAAAAAAAGAAAGCAGTGAAGAGAGCAACTACAGGGTTTTTTTTTCACTACTACATTTCTACAACAGGCAGCCACAGTGACCTACAGGTGCTCTGTATTTTCTGGAAGCCCCTTCCAAGTGTCAGTAAAGCACCTAAATTCTCCCAAGGCGAAGCTGCAAAGGAACTCCAACAAACCTTTTGGTTTTGGAACCGGCAAAAATGAGGAGATGAGGGCCAAAAAAAACACCCCCTGCAGCTCCTCTGGATCCACCAGACACGCCTGTCAGGGGAAGAAAACCTGAGAGCTTCTGTCTTGGCTCCTGGGCAACCACTCTCTTCACACCCCCCGTGGTTATGCAAAGGCAGAAGGAGCAAACATGGATTTGTGTCTAGGAACCAGGAAGGAGCGGGGTCACAAACCTCTCCACACATAAGCAAGTCAGTAAATATTGCAGTGAGAAGAAAACAGGCTCTGCTGTGGGAGCTGAATCCCACCCAGGGGGGTGTTGCCAAGGGACTGTGCTGGCTCACAGTCAGCAGATCTTGTGTTGCTGCTCCTCACCTGGAGCTGAGGAGTATGGTGAGGATGGAGACAGGGCAGGAGGAGCAGAATGGTTGGAAGGATGTTTTCAGTGTAATTTCAGGCTCCCAGCACTGGACTCCAGCAGCTACACAGATCCCTGCAGTCCCTGCTACAGGAATAATTTAATTGTCTTCTTTGCTCAGAAAAATCACATCTGTAGAGACCCTGAGGGTGTCTGCCAGTAGAACTTACTGAGATCAGCATGAGTATACTGAAAACATGTAGAGTTTAAAATTATGGCTCTAAAATACTTGAAAAAGTCACAAACATCCTCCATATCAGAGATCACAAAAGCTGTACAGAATACACTGATAAACTGGGGTTTTTATGCCATCTGTGGTCCTATGTTTTCTGCTTTACTGACTGAATAAAGAGAACTATAAAACCAATGACATCAAGAAGCTCAGCTTCCTTCTCCATCTGACAAATTATTGATAATCCCAGACGAGTGTGAAAGTATTTCAAGGTTAAGCAAACACAATATGGATTACTCATTACGTATTTGACCAAATACATCCTTAATTAAATACAAATCTCGTCTGATATTTCAGGTAAAGCAGCTCTGTCCTCAGACACCCACACGCTCCAGTCCACCTTCAGTCAGTGCCAGGGATAAGGTTCCTCAAGGAAGTGAGTTGGTGGCTATTTTACTGTGCAGAGGATGAAATGCTTCTGTCTCTTCAGCCCTGTGAGCAGTGCAGCTCCTCTCCATGCCAGCAGCAGAGCTTCATCCCTGTTTGTAGCTCAGAGGAGGGCTGAGCTCCCCACGCTTGTTTGACGTTCGCTGTCTGTCAGAGAAATTCAAAATGAGGGCAGAGTGGAAATGCTGGGCCAGCCCTAATCCACAGGGCACAACCCAGGCCAGGACCTACAGCCAGCACTGATCCCTGCCCAGGGACTCGAGGGTCTGTGCACATTCAGGCCTTTGCAAACCCCCTGGATCTGACTTGCAAAATAATGCAAATGATCCATCCATAATTACACCAAACCCACACCGTTATTAACTTCAAACTCTGAGCGTCACAGCCTAAAAATTCAGCAACTGCTTGAGGAAAATGTTCAGTTCAGAAAACATCCTGGTTATTTTAACTCTTCATTTGTGCACATGAAGAAAACCAACTGCCTTACTCTCATGTTGGTAAATCAGTTCCTAAGATCACAGATCTAGGCTGTACAACTTTCCCCAGAAACCTTTCATGATGACAATAAATCAATAAGTTAATTCAGTGGAAGAAAGAAGGAAACCAATCTACATATGTGAATTAGGCAAGCATTTTTGTCTGCTTATTGACCTTATGGTGAATTATTTCTAAGGACCTGCAGCAGATATTGGTGCTTATCAGGCACCAAGAAATAACTTCTCTACCTGGGAAATCTTCTATCCACTACAGGGAAACAGAAACTGCAGTCAGACTCAGATTTATTACCTGGATTACCAAGGTCTGGAGGTTCCTGCAGATTCACCAAGGCTTGCTTGATCTCACACAGGGTCTTGGCAAGAGGGGAAGCTGCTACCAGGCCCTCCACCTCCAACTCAGTCAGATAAGGTAACTGGAGATCTAAACCTTGGAGAAATGGGGAAACTTTTAAGCCTAAAGGAAGAGGTTTTTCATGGCTGGATGGCTGCAGGAAGGAAATATTGCACTGAGCAGAGAGAACACCCAACCAGAGGCTGTGGGGAGCACAGAACTGATGGTGTAGAATCTTCCTGACCTCCCCATATTGGAATTTAATTAGTGTAATGAAAGGACTTCACTGAGTCAGCCCTCTTTGTGATCTCTGAGAGCATCCATGGCACCCCCAGCTATGGCACTGCCCTTACCCTGCTCTTCACGTCCAGGGAAGCTGAAAAAAGCATCTTTCCTGCTGAAGAGCTCACATTGCTGAGGCAGCTCATGATCCTGTGGGATAAAAAGGGCCCAAGAGTTAAAGAAATGGGAAAAACCAGCAAGAAGGTAAAAGATGGAACAATAACAGGCATCTGCAACTCACCTGCCCTTCCACTATTTCTGATTTACTGTCACTGGCCAGGCTGCCCAGGGAGGGAACAACTTCCAGTGCATCCTGTGCTTGGACCCTGTGCTCCATCTCTCCTTTCACAGCTCCATTCCTGCAGGGAGCATTCCCAAGCAGCACTTCCAGAGCTTTCATTAACTCTTTCACTTCCTGCCATGGAGCACCTAATGAACCTGATAAACAATTTAAATGGGCTTCTGCAGAACCACAGCTACACCCAGAACAAAACCAAGAGCAAGAACCTTTCTCTGGAAACGTCACGAGGTGCCTCACACTGTACAACAATTCCCAATAAATGTGTGTTTGTCTCTTCCTGAGCTGACAGACCTCTCCTCTCACTGATCTGAGATGAAGACAGACAGAACAACACTGAAAGACACAGTCTTGTGGGATCTCTGTGTGTATGAGCCAGCTCTTTTTTTTTTAACCTGTTCACTCTTGCACTCCTCCCTTGCTCTGCACTCTGGTCCTCTCACCTGGCTGGAAGGTGTTGCCACAGTGCTCAGCACACTGTTCATCAGCCTCTGCTGCCCTGCTCTTGTCTGCAGGTTTATGCTCACAGATCCTTTGCCTGGCAAAGGTTTTCAGGGTGTCAGGATCCAGTGCTTGCACCATGTCCTGTTCACAGAGAGCAGCAGTGTTATACTCTGTTATACTCTGTTACCAATGTTACACCCTGCAATCCACCCATTCCACGTTCTGCCTCCCATATAAAGACTATTTAAACTATACAAACTATTAACTAACTATATAAACTAGATAAACTTAACTATATAAACTATTTAAACTATATAGAACTAGTTTATGCCAAAATGACGTACTGAAAGGACTAAGACACATCCCTGTGGCTTCAGGGGAACTATTTTTCTTACAAATGTCACGTTTCCAAGACTCCCTTCCCTCAAATCTTTCTTCCCACTGACCACAAGGCTCTGAAGCTGATGGCTGATCCTGTTGTAAAACCCCAGCACATCCATCCTGTGCTTTGCCAGCTGGGATGCCACGTGCAAATTCTGATCCTCCAGCTTGTCATAGAGGGTGCGAACGCTGAAATCCTCCAGGACCCTCCGTGCCAGGGGCCCTCCTGAAACACAAGGGAGGGCTCCACTCACACTCAAACACTGGCCATGGACTTGGTTTCCCAGGGGGGACAGCAGAATTCCATGCTCTGTGAGGAAGGAAGGTGGATGAGGCAGGAGGTGGCGAGGGGGAGGATGACAGAGCGTTACTATCAGCTCCCGACTCGCCCAGGAAACTCGGGATGCTGCTGCTCTCAGAGCTGTTCCCAGCACCACTTCCTGCTGCCACCTGCTGTTCCCTCTGAACACCCCGAAATTCCCAAGATGAGGTCATTCCCAGAAAGCAAACACAGCCCAGGAGTGACGTTCCTTCTGATAATAGAAGGACCAGCAGAAGCAGCCAAGGGAAATATTTGTGAAGATTTTATTTTCTTCACCAGTCATTTCAGTTTGCTGCCGTTTCGAAGGGCTTCTCAGGGCTGGCAATTCCTCTCCTAAGGGAGAAAACTCCCCCCCATTCCAATCAGAGGGGTTGCCCTGCCTAACTGAGGACACCAAAGGGAGCCAGAAGGGCAGTGTGTGTGCCTGGGTAAATGTGCACACACGTGGGAGTGCACAGCCCCCAAAGTGCCTGTGTGACCTCAGGGGCGTGCTCTGGGTGAGCAGGGAGCCAAATATCACACCAGAGAGTTAACACAGGACAACAAAGTAGGGAGTAAGTGGGAAGAAGCCAACTGGGGTTGGCCCAGCACTTTACCTGCATTAGAGGCTGTTCCTTTCTCTCCAGAAGCAGCATCTCCTCCAGAGCCACGAGGACCAAGCATCTGATAAAACTGAAGGCTGGAGGGAGTGACAGAAGAGGAGGAAGAGCATCTCATTCTTCTCAGCAAAACCAGATCCCTGCAGCACCACCAGCCCAGCTCAAGAAGAAGGATAAATTTCTTGTCTAGACTTTCATACCTACCATCAAAGGGGGTTTACCTGTCCTTAAGGAGGATGTACTCTGGTGGGATGTGTGGCTCACCCAGGCTCCTCCAGCGTGGCTTCCAGCCCTTCAGGGGGCTGCTGGCAGGGCCAGCAGGCTGGAACACGATGGCCAGGGTTGTCAGCACCACAGTGAAGGAGCCCAGAACAAAGAGGGTGGCTGGGGAAGCAGAGAGGGACGGCAAGAAGTGAGAAACACAGAAACTCCCGTGTATCCTGCCCAAACCCAACCATGAGCAGCTTTCATGTTGATTACAGGGGCTTCTGCTTTCCCCCTGTTGGTTGGTGCACCAGGCCAGGAGCAAAGTGTTTTCTGAGGGGACACAGCCAAGGATCACACCTGCAAGCCACACTTTCCTTTCTGTTGTTTACTGATGGACTGGTATGTGCAAAGCACTCACACAGAGGCCTGGCTTTGAGGAAAGACCTCAGCTGACCTCGTGTTTAGCCTTCAGTCAACTTTCAAATGATGCATTTAACTTCAGTTTAGTTTATCATGGAAAACACGGTGTCACTTTCTGCTTTCCAGCCAAGGAAAACAAAGCACCCTCAATCGCTTGAATTCTTCGAGCAGGGTGTGGGGTGAAACACAACTGCTCCTTCCCTCTCTCACCACTTGAGCTCCTGCACAGGCAGGTTCTTGGCTAGAGAGCAGTGAACTTTGGGGAGCTCTACAAGAGAGAAGGATTAAAGCTGACAAAGCCAGTGGTTTGATGGTGTTTTCAAAGAAAATGCTTGTTTAAACAGACTTAAAGAAGTCCAAGAAAGGTCATAGCTAAGCCTCAAGGTTGGTGTCCCGGTGTTTAGGCTGTACCTGCGATAGCAGCCCAATTGGGAGCCAAGTTCAGACCCTGTTGCTTCAAAACCCCATGTCTGGCCAGCTGGAACAGAGAGGAGGGCTGGAAGGGCACAGCTCTGGGGTCACAGCTCACGTTGGCTTCATTCACAGTCACGATCAGGAAGTGCTCCTGGACAGTGCTATCCCTGAAAACATACGTGCCAGACTCCAGGAAAACATGGGCAAACCTAAAAGAGGGAAGCCAAGAAGGCACTGGGTTGATCCAAGTTTCCTTCGGCCTCCAGCTGTGATAGTGGTGAAGACACATTATTTGAACACATATTTGATGTTTTCACTGCCAAGGACCTACTGATTCCACCCAAGGCTCACTCCCAAATCCCAGGATAGCACCCAGGATTGGGGAGTGAGTAAACACATGCATTGCCACCCACAGCAGGCATTACCAGGAGAGGTTGAGGTGAGTCTCCTGGATGAGGTGGTTTAGCCTTCGGAAGGGTCCAAAATCCCAGCTGGGGTTGCTGTTATAGAGATGCTGCTTCTGATACACAGGGTAGTGGCTGGATGCACGATCTGGGAAGTAAAAACCATGAGGTAAGCCCTTGTCAGAGCCCAGACTGTAGTCCTGGGATCCCCTGAGGGCAAGAGAGCAGGGATGGGAAGGGATGTGCTCACACAGGCAAACGTGGAGTCACTGCTCTGAACGGGTCTGGACACACAGATCTGCAAGATCCAGCAACACTCACCCTGGGAATCGATGCTGAGCTGGAAAAGGATGGTGTCTCCTGCTTCCAAACACACTACAGGGTTGGGAACCAGGGGCAAGGCCTGGGTATCTTTGGAGGAAGCCCTCTGGAATCGATGACCCTTCTGCAGCAGCTGACTTGATGGAAAATCTCCTGCCAGGCAACAGAAAAAACCAGAATGGATCCTACAAAATGAGCAGCACATGAAGACACCCAACCCTTGGCAAGGAAGAACTATTTATTTTGTGCCTGTGGGCAATTACAGCTCACAAGGCCAAATTCTGCTCTCAGACACACCACCCTAATTTGAGGAGCAAATGGAATCAGGAGCCAGCACACAGATGCCAACAGATTTGCCTCCAAATGGGGTTTCTTTCTAGTTCTTGGAAATCCAAAAGCATCCTGCAATCTTTTTTTGACCCATTCCCAGTGCAGTTCCTCACGGTTTAATCCCAGTCAGAACAAGGTTATCTCCCTACTTTCTAAATAGTTTGGAGTATCTGGTAATAAATTCCCACTGTGACAACTTGAAAGGAAACAAATGGCTCAATCTGGCTGGAATTCAGGTTCACTCTCAGGGGCTCTCCAGCCTTACCCACGAGAAATGCATCCAGAACATCTGTGCTGGAGACAATGAAACCCAGCACTCCACTGGGGCTGAACAGGACCAAGTGCACCCTCTGGCTGTTCTGCACGTGTTCATCCGGGCCCAGGACATTTGCCACTTCCTTTGGGAAGCAGAGGGAAACACTGGTCACTGATACAATCAGCACAGGACTCAGATCCTGGTTTGTGACCAGGCTTAACTGCAGTAGGTTTTCCTAGTGAGGCTTTTTCCCTACAGTTCAGGAACTGTCAGGGTCGTTCTCTGTGGAGCATCGACCCTGCAGCTTCAGGGCCCACGAGTCCCTTGACCAGGGTGTGACCTCTAAGAGCTCTCTGCAGACCTGCCTGCTGAGGAAGCATTCCCTTCCCCCCCCCAAACCTACCCTCACTTCTCCTTCATCCACCCTCAGGAGCAGCTCCCTGTTGATGCCAAATGCCAGGGAGATGCGAGGGGCTCTCAGCAGGCACAGCTGGTCACAGAGCTCCTCAGCAGAGATGTACTGCTTGCAGTGACAGCTGCCAAGTGGACAAAAGGCCCTGATCAGTCATGACCCCTGAGCTACAACACACTGAGGGGCAAGACAGACCCAGCATCCTACAAATTATAACAAGTGGGGCTACTCTATGTCCATGGAAAACAGGAGGGAGCGAACTCCTTGTCCATCCCATTGGTACCTTGCCTGCTATTCAAGGCCAAAACATGATTCCCCACTCTCTAACAGTGAAGACAGTACAATTTTAACACACTCTCTAACAGACTAGACAGAAAGACAGTACAATTTTAACACACTAGATTTCTGTGCAGTCCTTGTCACGAGGAGATTTCCCAGTACAGAAAGAGAAAAAAGAGTGATAATTGTGCAACAAGAAGCAGATCCAGTGTTTCCCTGCCCATGATGGGGGGCTGGAACTTTGTGATCTTTAAGGTCCCTTCCAACCCACACTCTCCAAGCAGAGGAATGGGGCCAGTGACTGCAGGCTGAGGGCAGGGAAGGGACTCAATCAATGGAAACTCTCCCAAAAAAAACACCTCCCAAGGCCCTGCCCTGCCAGGAGCTCGTGGGGTCAGTTGGTATGGCAGTGAAGTGGTGGGTAATGAGGGGCTGAGTGGGACTCACATGCCCAGCTCTGCGTGGAGCTCTCCCCCGCCCTCCCGCAGGCAGGGGAGCAGTCGTGGCGCTCGGGGACGACGCAGCGTCGCGTGGCTGCCAGACGGACCTGCCCCGGGGCACAGAGCTCGTCCACCTGCAAATGCAGCACCCACACCACGTGGGAAAAACCAGGCAGCACGTCAACCAACCCACAGCACCCCCAGAATTCCCTCCCTCCCTCCCCGCTGCTTCAGATGTTCAACATAAAGAGTGTCTGTAGTTCTTCTCTGGCGCCGTGTTTTGTCAGCTCGTCTAATTACTGCCCAGCAAAGACTTGGGCTGTCTGACAGAGGACAAGTTTTATCTCTGTTCTACAGATATCCAGTCCAAAAAGTGAGAAGCACTGACTGAAGTTCCTACAGCAACCTTTAACAAGGTTAAAGGACAGCTTGGAGAACACGGAAGAAAGAACCGCGGCGATTTCCCCTCCCATCCAAATCCCTCCTGCAAGCCTGGTGAGGAACTTCATATCAACAATAAGAAGGCTTAAATTCCTGCATTTGTCATCTATGTGAGGCAGTGCTGCTCCCCCCATTGCCCTGGTGTGGAAGTATCCTTTGCCTCCATGCTTTATGAATTTAAATTTAGCCTCACAAGATCCCAGTAAAGAAATCAAGTGCCATTATCCTACAAGGAAGGGTCAAGGGCCTCAAAAAAAAAAACCCCAATAAAAACAGTTAAAAGGACTTGCTTGTGTCTTCAACCCAAAGCACTGACTGGGCCAATTACTCTCCTTCTCCTGCACCAAATAATTTTGTTTTGAAGCCAAATTTTACCTGAGGTCGACAGTCCTGGTCGCTGTTGCTGTCGGGGTCTTTTTTGCCTCTCTCGTCATAGTAAACATAACCTGCCTGGCAGATACAGGAGGCATCTGACTGCTGGAAAGCCCTGTTCAGCCCATGGCAGGTACAGCTGGTGGCACCTGAGAGGAGAGGTTGGAGAGGTTTCACACATACACTGAGCAAGGCACATGCACTCTTCACTGGGCACAGCTGCCTACCTTCCACTTTTCCACCTTTTTCCCACTTTATCATGCCCTCAGTGCCCAGTTTTGGCTCAAAAGCACACCTACACTTAGCACAAGCTCCCCAATTCAGGGTTAAAACACTCTTGGTGAAACTCCACTGCTTCCAAAGCAATGATAGAACAAGAATCAGTAGAGTTACTCATCTCTTCCTTCCTTTAAGGAGCTCAAATCCCCTCGGCTAACAGAGTGTAAGAGGAACAAAAAGCTTTGAAAACTGAATCCTCTTTCTGGGTGGGACAGAGGAAGAGCAGTTGGGCACTGGCACCGTGAGGATGGCAGGGCTTGTGATAAATCACGAAACCATGTGAGGCAATCACGTTTCTAGGTGATTTCCTTGCTAGTCCTTCTCTTAAGAGAGGTGGAATTTCACTCACACACACACAGAGCAACTCACCAGGCTGAGAGGAAGAGGAGCTGCCACAGGGGAAGCAGGCAGGCTGGGCAGGGAGGTGGTTGAAGGTGCCAGCAGGACAGGGCTGGCAGTCCCCTCTGTGCTTCCCAAAGGGGCTGCTCCCGTGGGTTCCTGGGGGACAGGGCAGGGGGGCAGGTGCCAGGGAAGGGCAGTAGTGGCCTCGAGGACAAGGCTGTTGGTGGTAGCTCTCACTGCCTAGAGAAAAGACACTGCTTAGGGACCCCAACCAGTGCTAAGAGAGGGGCAGAGACCACCTGCTTATCCCCCTTATACACAAATATATACATATAAATATATATAAATACACATCTACATATAAAAAGCTAATCGACCATCAGCATTTTCCCATCTAATTCACAGTTAAATAGAAATTCATATTTGAACACAGATCTTTCTCCCAGCTCTTTCACCGGGCAAATCCGGTGGCAAATCCACGTGGCAGCCCACGGCAGGCTTTTAGAACTGCAGAGGGCTCAGAGCTTTGCCCACACAGAACTGAGAGCTCCCTGGTTCCAGCCTGAGCTGCTGTTCCTTGCCCCACTCCCCCAGGTACCTGGTGGGCAGAGGAAGCCGGCTGGGCAGGGCTGGCAGGGGGCTGTGAGCAGGGGGGCACTGCGGTAGGTCCCTGCAGCACAGACCCTGCAGAACTTCTCCCAGGAGTCCCTCAGACCAGGCAGGGTCAGGGCCATGGACCCTCCTTCACATGGCACCGGGTGGGCACTGCCAGGGGGGCAGTAGTATGGAAACACACACCTGGAAGGCAAAACAAGGCAGGGAGAGGGGAGAAAGCCTCTAAAAAATTTCTGGGCTCCATGACCAGTGCAAACAGGGGTAAAATAATAAAATGGTTCTCACCTAATTCCAGGCTCAAGCTAATTAGCAGAAATCATAAATGGCCCTATACAGTCTCTGCAGTCACCAAATCTGGGACTGCAGTTACCAAGATCCCTTTGTTTTTGCACAGTGCACAAAGACTGCACTTTAGGTTCAATCCCAGGCACAAATCCGAGTTTTTAGGAAGTGAAATCTGGCTGCATCAACATTTCAGGTACTCACAGCTGCTCAGGGCTGTTGTATGTGGAGGATCCCTCAGGGCAGTGGTACCCAGCAGGACACACAGAGGGCTCACCTGTGAGAGCACCACAGTACAGGCCAGGCCTGCAAGGCTTGGGATTTACTGAACCTGGGGGGAAAAGGGTGAACAGTGATATATAATGTGACATACCCAGAACAGGAGACTCTGTGCTGGGGGGGCTTTATTAAGTGTCCATAAACATTATTGCTCACAAAAGGGCATAGATCTGTTGGAAACCAGTTTGCCATTTAGCAGAAAATGCTAACACCTCAATACTAGCCCTGCATGAAGATCTACTCCTTTTCCAGGCCCAGACAACTTCTTTTGGTAGCCTCAGCTAAAGGAGGACAGGAAGGGAGGGCTGGGAGTGATCACGTCCTGGGAGTGCTGCTGCAAGAATGGGACCAGGGTCACTGCTAAATGCCGTGGCTGTGCCTGCTGATCTGCCTTCTAGACTCAGAAATGGCTGGGAATAAAGGAAATAAATAATAAAAAAAGGTCCTGTCACCTGCTGGGCATTCATAGCCAGGTTTGCAAGGCACTCCCTGGGTGTTGGGCAGCCCTGTCTGTGCCGGATCTGGGCAATAATATCCAGGTGAGCAGGGATCACACTCTTCCAGTGACTTTGCACCAGGCTGGGTCCTGGAAGTGCCAGCTGGACAAAGGAAAGTGTCCCCTTTACCAGGGCACCAGTAGCCAGGGGGGCACGGATAATCCTCAAACCGTGTCAGACCTGTGAGGAAGAGGGAGGGGAGAAGAAAGGGAGGCCGGGGGGAGTTTTGGAGATAACTGTGGGCATGACCGCCTATCTCACCTCAGGGAGCTTTCTAGTGAGCTCTGGAGGTGGGGAAGGGCTGGCTGTCCCCTGGCACTGACCTGACACGGGGCAGTGGTACCCTGGAGGGCAGGGCTGGCAGTCGGCCGGGCTCCGAGCCCCCGGCTGCATGCGGAACGTCTGCGGGGGGCACTCCCGAGGGGCCACGAGGCTGCCGTGCCCACTGCCACTGCCCCCAGAGCAGTAATGTCCTGGTGGGCATGGATGGGCCTGGGAGTCCCCTGGCAAACAGAAAGCAAAGATTCAAAGAGTCGTTTTCGACAGGATTGAAACACCTCTGTTCTCCTTGTGACCTCCTGGGTCCTTCCTAAGCTACTGCACTGTCTGTCTGTGCACAATCCACCTGCACCATCCAAGCCCCTCTTCCGACAGGAATATTGGGAGACTGGTTGTCATCTCAGGCTCTCCAACATTTCCTATGGTTGCTGGAACAGCATGTTGTATTAACACTGTTAAATATCTCTTTTCTCTGCAGACAATAGAACTCATCACTAGAGTGTCCCAAAATGCCATGTCTGACCTCAAATCCAGCCTCACCAGGTTCAGGGATACACACAGCTCTCTTAAAAAGCAACTCCCATCCCTGCCCCTCAAGATTTACCCCCAAGTTCCAACCTGCTTTGCACCAGTGTCCTAGTGGACAGGGCAAGCAATCCTCCCTCCTCACAGCCCCTGGAAGATCTCTAAGAGTGTTGGCAGGACACGGTGTGGGCACCTCAGATCCCTCCAGGCAGTAGAAACCTACAGAGAGGGATGGGAAAGAGGTAAAAGTCAAATGTGCAAGTCACAGAATCAACCAGGTTGGACAAGACCTCTGAGATCATCGAGTCCCACCCATGACCCAACACCCCCCTGTCAACTAGATGGCACTGAGTCCTCCAACGACAACAATGCCTGAGCAAGAATCTCCTCTTGTTGCAGAATGACCATTTACACAGCTATTGGGAGGTTGTTCTGCACACAGGAAGCCAAGTCAGAAGCCTTCAAACTCTTCTGGAGGAGCATTTCAGCACCATAAATTCAAGGTGCCTTTTTGGTCAGGCACACTAATTTGTCCAAAAGGTGTAAAACCAGAAGAAACCAACAAGCAATGACGATTTAAAAGGAGGGGATCACAGTCTAGTATGCAAGATAACATGCTTTCCAGCTGGTTAGAAGCAAGCCAATAATTCCAGACCCTAAAAATCCCCGAGGTTCTCACTTACCTGCAGGACACAGCCCTGCACACACCTGGCCCCAGCGACACCCGGCCAGGAAGCGCCAGGAGAAGCTGTGGCCCTGGGGAGCAGCCTGGGAGCTCCCAGCCAGGCAGAAATATCCAGCTGCACATTTCCCCTCCAGCTGCCCGTGCCTGGAGCAGAGAGAACAGCAAGAGTCCACATACACCCCCCACTGCTGCTGATCTGGGGTAGAAGCAGAGCAAGTATTGATGCAGTGAACTCTGCAATGAAAAATAACTTCTTACGCCAACAGGAGAGACAAAACAGCTCAGCTTTTCCATATGGAGATGACTAAAGTGAGCCAGACACTCCTGAGTTCAAGTTCCATAAGCATGAACTGCTTTAGATGAATTTGTGCTTAGCACCCACTTATCAGCATCAAACCAAGGATGTCAAAGTGAGAAACAAGCCAGACTGAAATGATTCACAACCTGCAGTAGTGACCAGGTAAGCAAGGCAGACATTCCTTCTCATTCCAGAGGCCAGTCATGTTTCCAGGAGTGAAGGTGCCTTCAGGACACGTGAGAGGAACTCGTGTGCCTGGAAAGGAGACCACAGAGACAACAACAAACCTCAGTGAGGCTGTTGTGGTCTGACAAGGCTCTTGACCTGGATCAGAGCGCGGCAAACGACTCCCAGGATACGCTGGCTCGTTGCCACCTCAATGCCTGCAGGAATTCAAACATGAGGGTTGTACCTCTCTGGGATCACAGTGAGGCCCACAACACCTGAACCCTTGGCATGCAAGTTCCAGGGTACCTGTGGGACAGTAAGAATGAGGTGGGCAGCGCTTGGGCTCTCCTGTCACCGGGTCCTGGCAGTAGAACCCTCTCTGGCAGGGGATGCAGGATGCAGAGCCTGTGGCTGGCTGGTACTCTCCAGCAGGACATGGTGTTGGCTGGGCTGTCCCTGACTGGCAGAAGTGACCCTGCAAGGACAGAGGAGGGAGGGGATTTCATGGAGGTGATGCCAGACTCAGGGTCTGTGTCACTAAAACCTTGGGCAACACTCTGTGTGGGTGCAATCAACGTGTCAATGAGGTGTGTGAGACCCTTTGCCACTGTGGGAACTGCCCAGAGCTGAGTCCCCCCTCCTTCACCCCCCTCAGCAGTACCTTGGGGCACAGCAACGCTGTGGGGCTGACAGAGCTGGAGTTTGCTGGGCAGTAAAACCCCTCAGAACAGGGTCCTGTTGGAGAACTCAGCCCAGCAGAAGCACAGAAGGACCCGGGGTAGCAGGGCACACAGCTCTGTGGGGAGGCACCACCTGAGGGCAAACCAAAGATCAGGGCCAGAGAGGAGGGGAGGAGGAGGAACACCCAGCACAGAACAGCACCAGCAGCACTGATTTGAGCTGGGAACACAGGGTACCATCAGGCCTGGCCAAGGGTCAGCTGCTCAGCGATGCCAGACCCGTGGGTGAGCTCACACTCACCCGTGGCGTTGTTCAGGGTGCCAGCTGGGCAGGCAACTGGGAAATGGGTTCCTTCTGGGCAGTAGTGCCCACCTGGGCAGGGCCCACTGAGAGGGGAGGCAGGTGACCCACGTGGAGTGGCATCAGTGGCTCCTCCGTCACAGTAGTACCCAGCTGAGCACAGACCTGCCAGGGCACAACAGAGAGGGTGGCACCTCCTCAAACCCTCAGAAATAGGCAGGTAACTCAGAGAAGAGAAGCCAAATCCCATCCTTATCCTATTTTATCACTGCTGATACCCTAGGCAGTTCACCTCTGGTGTGCCTTTCCTCCCTCTCATTAACCTTTGGCCTCTATGACTTCCTTTCTTTACCTGCACTGATCTCATCTGGCATTTGCTTACCTTATCAGTTCTCTAACGAGTTCCCTATCATTTGTTTCCTGTGGGAAGAGTCCTGCCTCTCTTCTTTCCAGGTATCCAACCTTGGCATTTTGCCCCAGTGACAATCACTCTGTGCTTAAATAGGAGGGGAAGCGTTTAAGAGGACAGAAAGAACAGCAATAAAAGTGTTAAAGCAAAGGAAGAGAAAGTAGAAAAAAACAAAGGGAGAGAAGGAAAAACAAGGCACCAACATCCAAAACAACATGCAAAATAAATGCTCAGAATAAGGGAAAGAGAAGTGGCTGATAGGCACAGGGTGAAGGGTGCCCTTCAATAATCTTTACTCTGTTCATGAAGATATTTTCTAATTCCCTGCATCCTGAATATCCAACCCCTGTGCTGTGGGGTGGGTGATTAACCAAACTCACCATCTGGTTCCCAGTTGGCCTCTCCCCTGCAGTACTTGCCCACTGGGCACAGCCTGCAGGCAGTGGGGGCCACTGCCCCCTCCAAGGCGTTCAGAGTCCCCTCGGGGCACGGCAGTGGGGCAGCAGTTCCAGCTGGGCAGTAGTAACCTGCACATGGAGAGGGGAATGAAGACAGGAGAGAGAGGTGGGAATGCTGAGTAACCACCCCATTCCCTGAAGGAACCCCTGCTCTGGCTCAACCAGCAGGTTCTGTTCGGGTTTCCATCCCGCCTCCTCCCATCGTGTTTAGAGTTTTCCTGCACACCTGATTCTCACCTCTGGGGCAGGTGAGGGGCTCCACAGTGGCAGCACTTCCACAGACCATTCCAGGTGGGCAGGGCAGGCAGGTTCCTGCCCCAGGCACGGGGCTGAAGGTGCCAGGCTCACACGGCAGCTCCAGCCCACTGCCTGCAGGGCAGTAGAAGCCTCTGGGACATCTGTACCCATGGATCCCATCAGAAGGGCAGGGAGCAGAGTTTCCTTCCAGGCAAACATACCTGGAGAGAGAGAGAATTCGGACTGGAACAGCTCACAGCCCCACTCAGATGCATTAAATGGGGGAGACACCCCTTGAAAATGCAGCCTGTTTCAGTGTGGATGACAACTTCAACCCCCTGCCCCCCATCTGTAACTTGGTGCCCACCTGAAAATCTTGGTAAAAGGTGTTTTTTTTTTTTACACTAAGTTGCCTAGAAAGTGTTCTCATTCTGGAAGGAAAAGCCTTTGAAAACTAAAGTATTTTTACTTCAAAACACTGTGTTTGAAGCGTTCAGTTCCTGCTGCCTTTGCTGAGCCTCTTTTTAACCCCAAGTCCTTTTGCAGGCCCCTGCTTTAATGCCATCGGTGACTCTTCCCTTTACCACTTCCCTCCCACACCCTCACTTCAAGCAAAGATGAGGAAATACAAAAATTACAATGGTTCTAAGAGCTGAGCAACAAGGAAAATGAGAGCTGTGATCCCATCACCTGCTGCGGACAGGGATTCAAACCATGTCGTTTCTGAAGAAGAAACAATTCCTTAAGGAACAGGAACAGCACTGAATGAAAGACCAGCAAAGCTGCCTTATTTTTTTTTGCCTAGAAGCAAGATCTATTCAGCCTGAACAGCAGGTTATGGGCAGTGAGGGATGTTACATGGCAGAGGTGTTAAAAAGCAACCTGGGCACAGCCTGTTGTGGGGACAAGGACTTCACATTTTGGAAGTCGAGGGTCATTTGTAATCATGTGATATTCACTGCCATCCAGCTCACAAACCTTAATCCCTCCTGTTACAGCCAGGCTGTAACATCTTTCTGGGGTTAAAGGGTTTTTTGGGAACATTTCAAATTTGACTAGCATGTGGCAAATCCCTCTTTACTCCCAAGAAGTCTGGTTTGGTGGCTCATTATTTTTATCCTCTCCAAATGTAGCCCTCACTTGTGTTCCGAGCTCAGCTTCCACTTCTAGACAAATTTAATTGTGATTTTCTCCACTAGATTCAAGAGCCAGCTGTTATTAAAAATCCTTCCCCAGGAAATCTTGTTACACTGCACTGAAATCACTTCTAAGACTCTCTTGCACATATAAAATTGAGTTTCTGTAGCTTCTTGCTATGAGGAATGTCCTGAGATGGACAGATATTGCTCAGGGCACTTCCCTTGCACGGGCTGGAAATGGTACCTTGTCCCTGCTTCTGGCACCACCTTGTGGGAGAAGGGAACACGGGAGGGAAAAAAAACTTAAATTCTAAGCAGGGGTGATTATGAGGCTAAATAAGGGATTTGCAACAGTAATTTATTTGTAATACTATTATTTGTAGCGATAATTCTTTTCGCTGAAAACAGTGAAAAAAACGTGGATAAGCCTGGGGTGGAATGTCAGGCAAACTGAGGGAAAAGGAAAGGCTCTGAAACATCTCCTGAGCTCACCAAGGAGGTGCAACATCCCAACCAAAGGGGTAAGAAAAGGCCCAGGATCTGCTGGGTGGGGTGTCCCTCAGCTCTAACACACAGCACGGCTGTGCTTTGTCACTGCCCAAGAGCTGTTCTCACACACCCTGCGTGACACAGCGAGGTCTGGGCCAGCTCAGACAGCCCCTTGCCACTGCAGTAGTGCCCAGCTGGGCAGGGTTGGCACTGCTCCTCCGCCTCCAGGCCCACCGAGGGGGAGAAGGATCCAGCAGGACACGGCACGGGATACCCCGTGCCCCTGGGGCAGAAATGGCCCACGGGGCAGATGTCATTGCCAGGCAGAGCCAGGCTGGAGGATTCCACCTGCACCAGAAAAACACAGAGGAAAAAGTGTCACGAGAAGGAGATTTAACACCATGTACAGAAGGAGCTGGGTCCTACAAGTTTTGCTGCCTCTGAATTAAACAAAGGCAATGGCTGGCATTAAAAAGGGCCTTGGGATGCTGAGGTGGGGCTGTGCTACCCCCAAAGCCAACTTTTGAAGGGGATATTAGACCACACACTCCAGTGCAATGTACAGAAACACAGGCCTGGCCAGAATTCATCAGTGGCAATTCATCAGTAACATATTCCAGTTAACACCAAGAGCAGCTGAGGAGCTCTCAGGGGCAGCAGGAAAAGGCATGAGCACCCTCATGAAGAGCAGAAATGCTTGGAAAATGTGACAGCAGAAGCCAGGAGAACGTGACAGCCCAGTCCTTGTCCCCAGGTCACTGGGTTTGCTGTGCTGCTGCCTGGCACTCACCCTGTGTTTGATGGGGGCTGGGCTGACGGCTCCCTTGGCACAGTGATAACCTGGATAGCAGAACCCAGAGGGCTGGGACAGACCTGGGGCTGAGCAATACATGCCTAGAACAAACAGAAGACAGCCTCAGTGTGAGGAGCTGCACAGAACATCATGACTTGGAAGGAGAACTCATGTTTTCCAGTCCCTACTCACCTGCTGGGCAGGGCTCACAGTCAGACTCACGAGTGGCACCAGTCCTGGGGCCAAAGGTGCCCTTTGGACAGGGATGTTGTGTGCTGAGGTTGGTCCCTGGCAGACAGAAGTGCCCAGCAGGGCACAGCTCGGGAGTGTGTGCTCCAGGACCTGGGGTACAAAGAACAGCACCCTGCTCAGGAGATACTCCAACAGGTCACGGGCCATGTCCTTCTCTGTCAACATCTACCTCTAATCCCCTATTCATCCCTATTCTGTCCATCCAGATACAGAAAATCAGGTCCCATGGGGCAGGAGAAACCTTGTGGATAGTGATGAGGAACAGGAGTAACTCAGGTGAGCAGTTACAGCAGAACATGGTCCTTCAGAAGTGGTTTTGCCCAGATCACACACAGTGCAAACCCTTGTCTCCTGGAATCATTATTTCCTTTACCATATACCTCTAAAAAGCACCAGAAAGCACCTATTCTCTGAATTCTTTCAGCCTCAGGCAAGGAACATCTTAGTGCAGAGGTAAGTCAGTTCTGAATTAAATCCCTTGGGAAAACAGGGAGTTTTCAATTAAAATGCTCAGCTGGGACTCTGAGGCTCCCAGTTGTGGTTCCAGCTCTGCTGAAACTCGTGTTTCATCTCAGCCAAGTCACTTCTTCCCTGTTATTTCAGTTCCTCACCTGAGAAAGGAAAAGCCCCCTTTGTCTCCCAGAAGGTGATGGATGAATCTGTAACTGTCACAGTGTGACCACAACTATTTCAGTGCTGAGGGGAGCAAATAAACACCTTGTGGAGGCAGATGGTGAGAACCTCTGAGAGGGAGCAGCTGTCTCAGAGCACAAGCTCTGGCTGCTGGCCAGACCAGGAGCTGCTTGCCAGGAGGGTTTGTCTCCCTGAGAGGCCAAAGACATGTCAGACACAAAGAAGAAATGGCTGAGCCAAGAAATAAAGAAGTGCAACAGCAAACAAGAAGCTTTATGGGTGACCTGAAGCTGCTGACTGAGAAACCAGCGGGAGTTTTGGACAACAAATGATTTGGGGCATTAATATTTAGTGTACATCAGTACCCAAAGAGGATGTGAGGCACTGAGTTTGTTCTTCCTCTGTCTGCTCAGGCCCAGGGTGTGAGAAATAAAGCTGTGGTGGGTGGGTGTTTGTGTGTGACCCCCAAACACAGCAGCACAGCCTCACCACTGCAGGAGTACCCAGCTGGGCAGAGCTGGCAGTCTGCTGATTGCCATTTCCCACTGCCAGAGTTGAAGCTTCCAGGACTGCAAGGGATTGGGAATTCAGTGCCTTCAGGGCAGTAGAAGCCAGGGGGGCAGTGCCTGTGGTCTGGTTGAGTGGATCCAAGGTCACAGAAATACCCAGGGTAACATGTTCCTGCCAGGAAGAAAAGCTTCAGTGTTAGATTTAAAATCAGAAAAAAAAAAACAAACAAAAAAAAACAAAACCAAAAATCCCAAACAAACAAAAAACAAAAACAAAACACAACAAAAACCAAAACAAACAAACAACCCCAAAAAAACAAAAACCAACCACCAAACAAACAACCAAAACAAACAAACAAAAAAGCAAACTGGGAGACAAAATCTGTGTTAATTTTTAAAACAGAATTATTTTTATTTTAAATAAATTTAATATAATAATAAGCAAATATAATTAAAATATGTTAATTTAATAACGAAAATGGATGGAATACACACCAGAAACTGCAGCCAGGCCTTCTCCTTGGCAGAAGCTCCCCGCAGGGCAGGGCAGACAGGAATTCCGGAAAACCATCCCAGACTGAGGCAGAAAAGTGCCCGTGGGACAGGGCTGGGGTTTGCTGCTGCCTGGAGGGCAGTAATGCCCTGCTGGGCACAGGCTGCCCGTCCCATCCCTCACAGGGTTGGGCACACGTGCCTTGGAAGAGCAGTAATACCCAGGAAAACACGGACCACTCGGGGCTGAGAGCCCTAAAGAGAAGGAGAATCCATCAGCTGAGCCAAGGGCAGCACATAAATCCCAGCCCATGCAAAAGATACTTTGCAAAACATATTTCAAGTGATGGCAAAGAATCTCTACTCCAGGAATCCCAGAGAGATCACTCCAAACGGTACATGGACTGCACAGAACATTTCGCTCACTGGTGGAACTTTTCGACTCTCCTGGAGGCAAATCAGTGTTTTAAACTGTGTTTAATCCATGTGTGATTCCCACCTGCACTGGCACAGAAGGTGCCTCCAGGACAAGGTTTGCAGTCCCTGGGCTTCCCCAGTCCAGCCTGGTTGCTGTAGGTGCCCTCTGGACACGGGTACTGGTGGGCAGCCTTTGTTCCTGGCAGGCAGTAATATCCTGCTGGACATTCCACTGGTTTGACCACACCCTGGGAGATGTTCTCTTGGAGATCACCTGGGTGGTGTTTTAGGGCACAGAACCTGCAAAAAAACCCCCACAACCCAAGTGTTGCCTCAGCCCATGTTTTCCCTCTGTTCTGCCAGAAACTAAGAAGTTTCTTTTGCACAACAATGACAGTCTAAGACACACAATGAAAGCAAATTACTTGGAAGGAAACAAATGGAAAACTAAGATATAAATTCTCAGGACCATCCTGTCCATCCCAGCATCCAGACCTACTAGGATGGGTTTGCTATGACACAGGAATTGTGTCACACCAAATAAAAGGAAGAATGACCTGAAAACAGAAACAAGAAAACCAGTCTCATACATCAAAGTGTGTATTTTGTGTATCAAACACTGAGCAGCCTAAAGCAGAGGGAAATACACATTTAATTCCTAATAAAGCCTCAAGAGAAATGAGAAAATCCATGTCACTCACATTCCTGCTGGGCATGTTTCACACTGGATTTTACCAGCCTGGTCCTGATATTCTCCAGGGGGACAAGGCACGGGCTCTGGGCTGCCAGTGGGGCAATAGTGACCCACAGGACACAAATAATCTAGGATTAAAAAAAAAAGGAAATACATCTCTGCTGTGGTTATTCCTGAACAGCTGCATGGAGAAAGCAGCACCACAAACCTAGAATTGGAAGATTTAATAAGATAAAGTCTTGATGAAGAATAACCTGGTCTCAGTTTTGTTTAAAGCACTGCTGCCCTAAACAGCTTCCAGAGAGCTGAAGGGGCTGCAGAGCCTGTCTGCACTGGCACATGGGTCACTAAATTCCATGTCTAATACACCAGGAATTGAGCTACATTTATCCCTCTATCACCCCTGTGAATGGGAGAATAGACAATCCCATATAATTTCTCTCTCACTAGTTGTTTTTTTAACAAAGGTGAAGATATCAAAAGAAATAAAAAGTCCTTTTGGGATATTTTTCAGTTTGTTTTTTACCATGGTAAGATCCCCTATTTTTCCTACTGTATTTGCAGACCCTCACCCACTACTTTAAGATGTGTTACTTGGAAAACACCTTTTCATCTCAATAGCTCTCCATTTCTAAACATAACTTGAAACTGTAAGTAAGGTCAGATTTTAAGATCTTGCCACTGAACAACCCCAAAGGTCTCCTACCTGAATGCTGGTCTGACACAGAGCCTGCTGGGCAGAACCATCCTGCCTTACACAATCCCTCTGGGGAGCTGTGGCCGTGCTGGGAACAGAACCAGCCTGGGGAGCAGGGCTGGCAATCCTGTGCTGACTGACCCCCATGGTGAGCCAAGAAGGAGCCTGGAAATCAAAACCCACCAAAATCACATTGGAACATCATCCCAGGCCCTGCTGGAAGTGGTTGTGGAGTTGCTCACACAGTAACTTTCTAACTGCTCTGGTCCCAGCTCCCTCCTGCAGAAGATGCCAAAAGGGTGCTGGATAAGAAGGAATTCAAAGGGAATACAGTTCCACCACTTTATTAGGTGACAGGTTCCTTGAAGAGGGGTATGGGAGAGCTTGGTGAATTCTATGATCCTATGATTTATTTCTGGTCTGGTCTGAGCAGTGCAATCACTTCCTTAATGCAGCTATAGATTTAATCCAGGAAACAAGCAACCATTCCACAGTCTCTTGTTACACTTAATCCTTTGTCTTTTAAAAGGTGATGATAAAGGACAGAGGCTTTTACTGTGACCTGTCCCTCAGGAGGGCTCAGCTAAGAGCTTCCCTGTCCAACAGCAGCACGTGGGTTCCAGGGCCAGTCCTGCAATCCTTGTCTAAATGCAGATTTAGGGCTGATTATCCAATACAACAGAACTGCATTAGAGGCTGTTTTCATGCTGATAACATGAAACACAGGCACACAGGGAACACAGGCACAACATGACAGGGGGCTGCAGAGCAGTGGCACAGGCTCAGACAAGCTCAGCAGCTCCCTGGGCACTGGGAGGAGAAACGACTCCCAATTTGACTCCCAGCTGCCATCAAACCTACCTGGGGGACAGGGAGAGGGAGAATAACTCCCTGCAGGACAGAAGTGGCCTCGGGGACAGATGTTTCCCACTGCTCCATCCCTGGGGTTGGGGAGTGTGGAGCCCCCTGTGCAGTAAAATCCAGCCTGACAGGGACCTGATGGAGCTGCCAGCTCTGAGGTGGCACAGAACCAACCTGGAGCAGGGGACAGAACCAAAATCAGCATTTCAGAGGTACCAGAACCAGCCACAGCACAACTGGGTTTCTCTGGGGATCTTGGCAAAAGGGGAAAGAGCACAGAGATACAAAAACTCCAACCCAACAAACTTGTGCAGGAAAAAAGATTCTTCTCCTACCTGGAGGGCAGGGAAGAGGAAGAGATGACCCAGCAGGACAAAAGGTTCCTGCTTGGCACAACCCAACAGATCCAGAAGGTGGGGCTGCCATCCCTGTTAATGGAAAAGGCACAGCCTGAGATGAAACATAGGAATTGCAAACATAGCTGCAAAAATCTTAGTGGGAGAGCTCAGGGAGAACAGAACCACAGCACTGAATTAAGGAAAATAAAAAGGGGAAAAAAGCCACCTTGAACCTGATTAGGTCTTTTAGGTGACCCTAATAACCCTCCTCAAAAACAACCATCATCACAATTTATTGTTCCCCTTCATACCAGAGTAATTCCCAGGAATCACTGGTTTGCTTGACGTGGATCCAGGTGGACAAAACCACCCAGGCATGCACAGTCCATCTGGTCTTGCCAGGCCTGGCTTGGAACAGACCCTTCCAGGAGGGCACAGCTGGCACTTGGAAGCATCCCAGAGATTTAAAGCTTCACTGTAAGTTCCAGGGGGACAAGGATATTGTGTGGCAAATTCTGTATTCCTGGGGCAATAATGACCTAGGGAAGAAAAGGTGGTTTCAAGACAGTTAACACGTGCTGGAAGAAATCACACATGGAATTTCCTTTCTTCTCCTTCTGGGAAGGACTGATTGTGGGCCCATCCTGCAATTTGTCACTGTGTGTCACAGAAACATCCCAGGGGCTGCATCAAATGCAGTGATCAGGGCTGAGGTTCAGCAGGGTGAGGCTGGGGAGGTGCAGCCAGACCCACCTGCAGGACAGTCTGTGTAGTTTGCAGAGGCAGAGGTGCAGTAAAAACCTTCTGGGCACCCCAGGCACTGTGTCATCCCCCAGGATGGGCTGTAGGTCCCTGCAGGGCAGGGCTGGGCTCTGCTGCTCCCCATCACACACTGATGGCCAGGGGGACAGGGACCTCCACTGGCTGTCGCCTTGGAAGAGAAACCCCACAGTTACAGCCTGAAAACTCAAGAGGCTGCCCTTGCAAAAAGGTCTCTGCCAGATTCCACTGCTGAAGAAAAAGATTATGAAATCCTGTGCTCACCCCTCAGTCTCCCAGGCTGCACACACCTATCTTTTTCCAAAATAAAAGATCAGAATTCTGCCCATATAGTAAATCCCTGTGGCACAAAGCCAGTGCCTTGTCGAGTTATCATCTTTACAAATTCAGCCTGTATTTTGCCTCAGAGGAAGGCTGACAGAATCAGCATTCTAATCAAACTCAGGCACTCCCAACCTCTGTAATTTTAATCAGATTTGGCATTCCACTCTGCTCTGCAGCATCAATATGCAAAGAGAGAGCTACTTTTGCCCAGCTTTGAGATGTAAAGCTCAAAGAAGGCCAGGTGTGTTTTGTCATCTCTGGCCTCTTTCACTATCAATAAACCAGATATACCTGATGAGATAATGCAGTAAAAGAGAGTTTAATCCAGGCCCAAAAAAAACTAAGGGGACCTTAGGGTCATCAGTTCCACAGACATGATGTTTTGTAGCATTTATATCACAAGTACAGCTTACCCTGGGAGGTTTAGGAGAAATGGCTCCTCCACTGCAATAGAATCCAGCCTCACATAATCCACTTGGAGAGACAAGTCCAGTCCCATCACAGAAATACCCTGAAATTAGGAAGGACCATAAATTAAAAAGGCCATAATTATACTGATGATCCTTGTGGGAATATTCTCTGATATTGGCCACACAAGACAAGTACAACAGCAAGTACGCAGTGAGGAAATATTCACTGAAGCACCACCTTTGATGTCACCCCCATCTCCGCTCCTGGAGATGCTTTCAGTGGGAATGGCTGCAGGTGCAGAGCTTCCACGCCTGAACAAACAGCCCTGGTGTCACCTCTCGAGTGGGGAAGCATCCAGAGAAAGGCTGCAAAGGGAAGCTCTCAGCTTGCACTTCACTCTGAGCATCCACTTACATGGGAAAATGGCAGGTTTAGCCTCTCTGTGCTCTACCAGCACCTCTCTCCAAGCCACCAGTGGTTCAGGAGTGCCTGCTCTGGAACCACAGCTTCTCAGGAGCCCCCAGAATGACCCAAATCTCCTCTATCCTTTCTTCCACCTTACCTGCATCACACAGGAGGCAATCCTCGATCCCAGTATTCCCAGAGGAGCTGCTGTAGTAGCCAGGAGGACAGGGCTGTGGGAAGGCAGAGCCCAGAGGACAATAAGCTCCCTTGGGACACGTGTTCCCCTCAAGACCATCCGTAGGTGTTGGGCTGGAGGCACCTCCAGTGCAGTAAAACCCAGCCCAGCAGGGTCCTGTAACCTGGGGCTGCCCTGCAAGTCCACAGTAATGCCCTGAAAAGCAAAATAACGCCACAAGTAAGGGCAGAAAAATCCAGAAAGTTCCTGCAGAGACACACAAACCCCCCCAGTGAACCTCAAACACGTTCAATACCCATTTTCACACGTTCTCCTGTCACTGCTGAGACATCTCTGTTACCTGGGTCACAGGGGGTGCAGTGAGACCTCAGACTGCTTCCATTCTGGGGGTTGTAAGTCCCTTTGGGACATGGGAACTGAGTTGCAGAAGCAGTGCCTGCAGGGCAGTAGTGGCCAGCTGAGCATTCATTCCCCAAAAAGGAAGAGGAGTTTTTGGGGCAGAAGAACCTGGTCCAAAGAGAGATTAAAAAAAAAGGAAAAAAAAATGTTTCTAGTAATATTCTATTCTAATAATATATAATTTTATACATATAAATAAATATATATAATATATAGTAATAGTATATATTAGTAATATATAATATATAATAATACATAGCAATATATAAACCAAACCAAAATATAATATCTAATAATATCTAATAATATCTAATAATTATAATGATATATAATACTAATACATAATATTAGTAATAATAAATAAAATATTATAGAATATATACTATATTCTAGCAATATTCTATTCTGATTTCCCTAGTAATATTCTCTCTACAAATACCCACCCACCGGTGGTGGGATCAGCTTGTCTGATGTGGCTGCTGCACTGTATTGACCAGACAAGAGAGCTTCTTATGCATATCACTGCATCCTCAGTTGTTTCCTCCTGTGCCAAATTGATGGCATAATTGCAAAAGCCACAGAGACATAATTTTCTTAACTTGAGTCATAACACATCCAGGCTGTGATTCATCAACTTGTAACAGTTAATCAAGGTCAAATCCACTCAGTAATTGGAGATAAATCCCCCAAGGAAAAGCCAGGCTCAGCATCAGGTGATTTTCAAGATCCTCTTCCCCTTCAACAGGCCTCTGCCAGCCTGTTGCCAAGGGAACCTTCTATTACCTCCAGACAGGAGCAAAGTTTAGGGTGTCAATTGGTTTCTGTGCTCTGAGCAGCCTAAATCCCCTTCCATGGATATGGAATTAGGACTTTTCCTGGTCCCATAATCATCTACATAGTGTTGTGAGACAGAGCTCAGCAGTTGCTCTGCTTCCTCATGGAGACAAGTGCCTTTCAGTGGTAAAATACACTCATTTTCCCACCTCATCCAGGATAAACAATGACTTCCAGCAGTCCCTTACTCATGTGTATAATCCTAAGATCACTCTCTCATTCTTACCCTTCAGGACAGGGGAGGCAGCTGGTTTGTCTTTGGGAAGGGTTATAGGATCCTGCTGGACAAGCAACTGGAAGAGCCGTGCCCTTGGGACAGAAATACCCTGGGGAGGAAAGGCAGGAGAGCTCAGGACCAGCAGCCTTTGGAAAATCGAGGGCAAATCGGAAAACTGAAGTGCGAGCTGCACTCACCCTGTGGACAGGGCGCTGGTTCCTCACCAGACACACAGTACTGACCCTCTGGGCAAGGCTGGCACTGCTCCCCGTGGGTGTGGGGCAGGTGGGAGCCAGGGGGACAGGGAGTAGGAGCCCTGGAGCCAGGGGGACAGAAGTGACTGGGTGGACAGGGAGCTCCCGCGAGGCCATCGCTGGGCGTGGGGCTCTGGGCACCGGCGGCGCAGTAGAACCTGCACCAGGAGCACACCGAGTGTTCAACGGGGCACAGAGCCCCTTGCAGACCACCCCTTGTTCTACCCACGGGCTTGTTCTACTCACCCTGGGCTGCACTGCCCCGAGGGAGCCCCCTGCCCAGAGCCATTGCAGAAATATCCCCCGGGACAGGGCTGGCACTCCTGCAGGCTCCTCCTGCCCGCCCTGCCAGCCCAGGTGCCGGGAGGGCACTGCAGGGGAAGGGCTGCACCTGGAATCAACCACCCCCAAATGAGGAAATGCCACTTCACGCTGCCCAGGAATGAAGAAAAGTCACGTTTCGAAGCACCCACCTTCAGGACAGTAATGCCCAGCAGGACAAGGATGTCCTGACTCTCCATCCTGGGGATCTCTTACCCGGGCACCGCTCTTACACCAAAACCCCTCAGCACAGTCTCCTAGAAAACAGAATAATCTGGGCAAAAATACATGAATATACGAAAATAAAAGGCACATAAATACAAATTTCAGAATGCAGACTGACATGTAGGCATTTGCCAGCGTGCAGGGCCACTGCCAGTGCAAAACTCAGTGAGGGAATGGTCAGTGCCAGGAGGGCAGATGCGGCAGCAGATGCCATACTGACAGAGAGAGAGAGAAGCACTTCCCTTTGCCCTGACTGAGCACTACCTCCATACCTCAACAAGTATTTGAGCACGCATTTCTCTTTAGAACAGTGTTCAACACATCCTGAAATATTAAGAATTCCATTAAAATGCTTCGCTGAATTAGAGCCTTTCAGGACAAGGACCAACAAAAAAAATCATCAGCACTGATGTGAAAAAACGATCTTGAAAAAGATGGAGACGTCCTTGCTGGGTATTTCGCCCACTCTTTCCCTGCTAAACTTAATCACCCGCACATCAATCACACAAAAGGATTAGTCCTTTGGGAACCAAGCTGAAAAAACAAACTCATTGTAAAAAACAAAACGCCAGACAGGTTTGACACTGAAAAACTCCCCACAGGATTTTTTTTTTTTTTTTTTAAGAAGCATCACACATGGAATTCTACTTTCTGCAGTCATTCTTTCATGTCTTGCTCAGGAAAACGAACCTTCTTCTTTCCCAGGAAGTCAAATGGAGACAGTTCAGCTTAGGTGAGGTCAGAACCCTGGAGTCCAAGCCCTGCATTAACCATCAGCCACTGACAGGACTCTCTAGCAGGAACAAGGATGCTCAGGACAGCAACTTACCTGTTGGGGCAGCAAGGCCAGGGGATTCACAGTATTTTCCTGGTGGGCACTTTTGACATTCCTGGATAGTTCTCAGTTTTTGCCTTGGCCCAAAGGTTCCTGCAGGGCAGCTGTACTGGGAGCTCCTGCTGGTCCCTGGTGGGCAGTAAAAGCCTCGTGGGCAGGGGTAGAGGGTGAAATCAATAACTGGTCCTTGCTGGCTGTCACAGTAATAACCTGCAGGGAGGGAGACAGAGGGAAAGAAGCTAAATCAGAGAGAGATGAGCTACAGAGGTGCTGCTCATTAGGAGAGAACAGCCTCTCCCAGCACACAAAGCTCGGTGGCCACTCAGAAAAATAAACCTCCTGCTGACCTTAAATAACTATTGATCTGACTCACAGCACTGCTGGCACAAATGCAGAGCAAAGCTTTCCACTTGCTGCACTCTTCAGAAGGAAATTTACCACCCAGAGCCCCCCAGAACACGGGACAAAGCTTACAGGTGACACAGGGACACATCTGAGGACACAACATTGATCTCTCTGTTTCCTTTCAGGTGCTGAAACCCTTCAAAAGAAAGTTTTCCCAGTGAACATCAGAGTCTTCCCTTGGCAGTATTTAAATTGCTCAGAACACACAGATGCTGCCATTTCTTTCACATCTGAGTTGTTTTAACCTCTGATGGCCTTTTCACAGAGACAGAAAATGTTCTCCACCAGTGAAGAGAAGGAACCACTGAGGTAGGCAGCAAATCTCTAAACTGTGATCCACAGGATGGCTCAAGAGTTTGTAACAAGCAGCCACTTTTTGTATGAGGGAAGCACAGAATAACATTTGGACAGAACTCCTATTTTCTGGATTACAGCACCTCTTGACTCCTGCCAGCTCTCCCAGTAGGAAAAATGGCTTTTCCACTCACAGAAAGGCATTTATTTTGAATTTGTGCAGTTCCCACCAACTCACGCTCCTCTGAGCACTTCCCCAGAGCCTCTGTGGGTCTGCAGTGCAGTTTATTCCCCACTTACCTGCCCAGCACTCCCCACTCGGGGCACTGAGCCCGGGCTCCTCACAGTAGAAGCCAGAAGGGCAAGGCTGGCACTCAGAAAGTGTTCTCCTCCCTGGGAGGCTGGAAAAGGTGCCAGCTGGGCACAGCTGGGGCACTGCTGATGCTGCAGCTGCGGGAGGAGAAGCCAGACAGAGAGAGATGAACAAGGAAAGAATGGAGAGGACAGATATTATTAGCTTCATTTTACTCAGGGAAACAGAGGTGAAGCCAATAACATTCTAAAGTTCAGGTATTGAGACAAAATTATCACTTTATCGCCTTCAAAGAACAGGCCAGGGGAAGAATTTGGGACTTTATGGTCAGACCCCAGCAAGTTGGCTACCACACCCTCAAAATCACCCACCAGTGTTTCAGATTTTAAAGGACATGACATTTTCAGTATTTCAGGCATCATGGGACGGGAAATCCTCAGTCCTGGCTGTGCTGGATACTCACTGCAGAAGGTCCCCACAGGGCAAACGTTCCCAGTCACACCATCTGTGGGTTTAGGGAGAGCTGCTTCCCCTTCACAGTAAAACCCAGCAGCACATTCCCCACTGGGGACAGACAGACCTGGAACACAGAGAGGAGAGGATGGGGGCACTCAAAGCACTGAGAGAGAGGGAGAAGAGCAGGAAGAACAACTGCTCACAGCCTCCCTCTGGAAAACACCACAGGCACCTCCCAAGCACAGTACCAGGATAAAACAATTCCCATTGCACACACTGAAAGAAAAGTGAAAGGACAGAAAAGGAGTGGGAGGAAATGGAGCATCAGTCAGTATTTCAGCACCTGCAGGCTCTGCAGAGGCAGCAGGTAATCTGGCAGCAGACCCTGGTGCTCAGCATCTATGAACCTGGAATGAGGTGTGTTCATACTGGTCCTCTGAAGATGGGAACACGGCCACAGAGACACTTACTCAAGGTCACCCAGCAAATTCTGGCAAAATCAGGTTTATCTCCCAAAACAGAACTTAGCTTTAGGGTCCCCTAAAGAGCTCTTAAAAGGCAAACATTCCCTTGTCCACACAACGCCTCTAATTTGTCTCCACTCCTTTTGTTTCCCCAAAGACACAAACCTGAGGCATTGCAGTAAAACCCAGGAGGGCAAGGAAGGGGCTCTGGGCTCCCTGTGGGGCAGTAGAACCCAGCTGAGCACTTCCCTCCAGTGGCAGTGGCTGGGCACAGGCAGTTGGCATTGGTGTAGTTATCCAGGTCAAAGGGCTGCGAGGTCCAAGCAGCTGAGATGCAAAACCAGCCTGAGAAGAGAAAGCACGACTGAGCACCCTGAAACTATCCTGAATAAACCAGCTTTGTGTGTCGTGCCTGCACAGAACAGGCACGTCCCACAGGAAGCCTGGGCCCACCTGAACCAGCAGATGGGACTCAGGTGGATGCCCAGGGTGTGCTCAGTCATACTGGATGCCTACAGGTAGGCAAGGGAATCCAAGCAAACACGCTGGAAGGGCTGTGGTAAAAGCTGCAGGATAAAAGCATCAGCCTCCCAAACACACTGTCCCACTGCCCCTCACTCACCTGCATCACACTGCCCTGAGGCTGCTGTCAAGCCCTCCTTGCCACAGAAGTGCCCAGGGGGACAGGGCAAGCAGCTGTCCAGGCTCTGGGTCATGGGGTCAGGGTTGTAGTAGCCCCTGGGACAGGGAAACTCAGTGGCAAACCTGGTTCCTTTGGAACAAAAGAGAGCAAGAATCTTTCATGGGCTGTAAACACCATCTATTGATCCTGCTATATCACTTCATGCCATCTTTTCCAATTTATCTCATTGCTGATCCCTTCCCTGACCAGGACAGTCCCTGGGTGCTGTTTAATTTGCCTGTAAGGGTATTAAACAACAGCCATATCCATGGTTTAGAATACTGCTGGGTTTTGTTTGTTTGTTTGTTTTTGTTTTGTTTTGGTTTCTTTGTTGTGTTGGTTTTGTTTTTGGGTTTTTTTTTGTGTTTTTTTTGTTTTGTTTTTGTTTTTCTCTGAAGGACCAGACTAACACTTAAAACATTTTGTTCAGAGATAATTTCTTGCCTTTGAGAAGGATATTTCAATGGATTGCTTTGTCCCCATGGCCCATCTCACCTTTGGGGCAGTAAAACCCAGCTGGGCAAGGGTTGGTGCTGTAGCTGGTGGTGTTCTCTGGGCAGTAGTACCCTGCAGCACAAGGGGAGCAGGCAGCTTGCCTGCTGAGGTTGTTGTAAGTCCCTGCAGGGCACGGGGAGGGAAAGCTGCTTCCTGCTGGGCAGAAGTGGCTCACAGGACAAGGACCTCCTTTCTCCCCCAGACCTGCAGAGAAGAGAAGAGAAGAGGCAGTCTTCCCTGGAAATTATTATTCCTGAGACACAATAAAATGGACAGGCTGTGCCCATTACAGGCAGACACCCACAACCTCCCCAGTGCAAACATCTCACTGGAGAGCACAGACCAGCTGCTTCTTCACCCCTGGTACGGCACAGATCCCTCAAACAAAATTAATACAGGGGGTTTGGGTGACTGAGAGGAGGCAGGGGCAGGAATACTGGGGGAAAAGGTGGCATTTTTGTAAAGCTACCTGTTTGCCAACCCCCCAGGTGGGTGTTGCCCCAGCACAGCTCACCAGATGGGGATGGAGAGGAAGCCCCAGGCAGGCAGTAGTAACCAGGTGAGCAGGGTCCTGAGGGGGCTGTGAGGCCAGAGGAGCCACAGAAATGGCCAGGTGGACAGGCTGTGCAGCTGGAGTCCTGCCAGTTGTGGAGCCTGAGAGGGACACAAGCAGGTTTTGTGTTGGCAGGTACAACATTGATGCCTTCAACACCAGCAAAGTGAGAGCAACCACGGAGCTTTCATGATCAGTGCAAGGACACGTGTAATGAGCCTTCCTGAGCTGCACTTTGTTACTTAAAGGACTAAGGGAGACACCAAGAAGAAAAGGAAAATAAAAATTCGTGTCAGCAGAGCCCCAGATCTCACCTGTCTGAGTAAGTGCCCATGGGGCATCTCTGTGGGATGCTTGTGCCAGCTGGGCAGAAGTGTCCAGGTGGGCATGGGCCACCAGTGCTCGTGTTTGTGGCTCCATTAGGGTTTGGGACACTTGCTCCTACATGAGAAAGAGCAAAGGTGTCCTGAACCATACGAGTTGCTGTCCACAGGCAAGTGCTCCATGCCCAAAGAATCATTTCCATGGGTGACAGAAGGGTATGGGACTCATTGCTGGTTGTGACTTACGGCAATAAAGCCAAAAATCTGTAGTGGGTTGGAATAACTAACAGCAAGTACCATAAGGGCCACAGCTTCCTCCTTTCCCCTCCTTTTGCCCTGTGAACACTGAATTCAATACCTGCTGTGCAGAAGAATCCTGGCCAGCAGGGACCGCTGGGAGAGGACAATCCCCACTCTCCACAGAACATTCCTGGAAGGCCACAGAGGGAAAAGAGCATCAGTAAACTGGGAGAAAAGCCAGGAGAGAGAATGCTGCGCTGCATTCACTGACTGGAAGGCAAAGGGGAAGATTTTGAGAGAGCAAAATCCATCAGCATGGGCACAACCGGGACAAAACCACGTTCCACACTCCTGTGGGAAACCCTGAGCGTGAACCAAACTCTCATGCAGAGCCTCAGGAAAACCAGCAGCTCACTGGGGACGTCACCAGTGGGACAGGGATCCTACTTTTACTGTGTATTTTCATATTCACATTTCCCAGAAGGGAAACACGTGTCAGGAAAATTAGGAAGGGAGGGATGCAGGGAGATCATCCCCTTAAAAACCAGAGTCATTTCGTCACCTGCAGGGCACTGCTGGCACCTCTCAGCCTGGCTGAGGCCGTAGGAGGGGTTGTAAGTCCCAGGAGGACAAGGATAAAAGCTGATTCCAGTTTTCTCAGGGCAGTAAAATCCGGGAGGACAGCGATGCTTTAGTCCTTTGGAACAGTGAAACCCAGCGGGGCAAGGAAGGCATTTGTCTTGACCTGTGAGGGAAATTCAGGAGATGAAAGGAAAAATGGAATGAAATGGAAGGAAAACACCATGTGCACAAATGGTTTGGGAAGCAGAAATGGAAATAAGGGTGTTTTGTGAGCTCTCCTGTGGTAACTGGCCTTCAGATATGTATTTCCTCCCAGGAGCATTGCATTCAGCAAACTTCCCAACTCCACTTTGCCAGCAACCTCCACATCTCCCCATTAGGTGGCAGGAGGAACAGAGGGAGAGCTGGATAACTGCTTACAGCCTTCTGTCCTCTATCACAGCTACAAACCCAACACATGAGAGAGGGAAATATACACAATAACCCCCATCCTCAACCCCTTTCTCTACCCCACCCCCCAAAATACTGAATTTTCACAGAGGCCAGCAGCTGTCCAGTGCTTCTGGGATGCAGATAAAACCCAGGAGCAGTGTTTCCATCTGCCCCCAGGCACAGGGCAGCTGCAGAGCCCCAGTCCCTGACCTGTTGCATTGCTGTATTCCCCACTGGGGCAGGGGGAAGGTGCTGCTGAGCCTGCAGGGCAGAAATGTCCTCGAGGGCAGAGATCTCCAGTGACACCATCCTCTGGCTTTGCAGTCTTTGTCCTTCCTGTGCAGTAGTAGCCTTAAAGCAGGAAATATTTAAGTCCCCTCTCCTCTCCCAGTTTGGAACCAGCTAATTTGGAATTTCCTGGCTCTGTCTCACCTGGTGCACAAAGTCCCATGGGAGCACCTTGGCCAGGCGTGTTGCAGAAAAACCCAGGGGCACAGGGCAGGCACCAAGAGGCATCCTGGGCCCCCTCTGCCCGTTCCAGGTGCCAGCAGGACACGGCATCTCTTGTGGGTGTTTGGTGCCAGCTGGGCAGTAATGTCCTTGTGGGCAAAGATCTCCGTAGGGAAGCCCCACCTGGGGCAAGGAAAATAAAATTAATGTGGTTTATAGAAGGTTTTGCAGAGACAAAAGGTCTTGAGCAGCGTTGAGGGTGTTGAGGACTCACAGGTGAGGAGGTGCTGGAACCTGGGCTGCAGTAATATCCTGGCTGGCAAGGTCCTTCTGGCTCAGCCAGCCCAGCTGTGCTGCAGAACATTCCTGCTGGGCAGGGCTTGCAGGAGCCTGCCCTCCCCACGTCTGAGTAGGTGCCCTGCACAGAAAGAACCACTCAGTGCCCCTGCCAGGGCTCTGGGAGCCTGCTGAAAATCCCTGCTCGAGGAACAAGTGCATATCTGGCTCTTACCACCGGACATGGGAGAGGCAAGGAAGTCCCAGCCGAGCAGAAATGCCCTTTGGGACAGTCCTGGGGTGCAGCCAGACCTGGTTCATGACAGAATGTACCCTCTGGGCAGGCCCTACAAGCAGACTGAGCACGGCCCTAAGGAGAGAACATGGAAAGGGCTTGGCAGGTTCATGGGAATAAATAAACTTTGCACATTCTACCAACTCCCAGAGCTCCTGCTGTGAGATAAACCCCCCAAAGGAATGACCTGCAGCCCAAATCCAACAGATTTAGGGTGTCTGAACAGCACCTTGTGTCATTAAAGCAGGGCAGGCACTGCCATGAGCTAATAATAATTACAGCAGTGACACACACACATACGTGTTAATTCTGCCCTGCAAGGCCAAAGCCTTTGCAACTCTCTCCTAAATTTGAATTATGCAAGAAAACTTTAGAAAAATTGCCAAATGAGCTCTAGACAACAGCCCTGGACTGATGGGTCTGATGTCCTGACCCCAAGGTTCTCAGTTCTGCACAGAGTTTTTCTGTTGCAGGGTAAAAGCAAAGGGGGTAGTGATTACCCAGCTTAGCAGAAGACCCAAATCCCCATTTTTTTAAGCCTCATGAATTTCTATACACACATTTAAGAGTTTCCAATGGCTCTGATGACCTCCAAGGTTACTAACACAGGGAATACCAACATACTCACGGGTTGGAAGCTGCCAAGGGGACATGGCTCTGGCTGGAAGGCTCCTGCTAAGGAATAATGCCCCTCCATCACCACTTGCTGAAGGGGATTTTTGGCACCCCCTGTACAGAAGTAACCAGGTTCACAAGGTCCTGAGGGAGTTTGGCTGTTTGTCCCATCACAGTACAGCCTATGAGGGGAGAAAAAAACAAAAGTCTTGAATAGCCATAATGCCTTTTTCCTTTTTTTTTTTTTTTTCACTGGATAATACAAAAAAATCTCTGGAATCTTAGAGACCTGGTGCCTGTTTGCTTGACAGGAGTTACAGAGCTGAAGGTAAGGACAGGCTGTGGCAACAAAGGTGAGGGTTGAACACTGGCTTTGCACTGGGACAGAACTGAGCTGTGTTTTTTTGGATAACACTCACCCAGGTGGGCACTCCAAGCACTCCTGGAGGCTCCTGAGCCCACTGAGGTTGCTGTAGGTTCCTGGGGGGCAGGGGATGGGGGAGGGACAGCCAGGGGGGCAGTATGACCCAGCAGGACACACATCTCCTGTCACACCGTCTGTGGGCAGCTGGAATGGGGAAAGGCATCATTCAAAAAGTGGAGCAAGTGAGGTTAAAATCATCACAGTGATGTGGGCAATACAGAATAAAAATCATAAAAAAAAAAGAGACATGCCCTGCTGTACAGAGAACAGACAACTGGGAAATGCAGCAAACACAAAGAGAATAAATAGGGATGACCTTCTTACAGAAGCAATCCCACTGTGATTCACACCCACTGACCTCCTAGTTAAGGGGGTGTCAGTGTTGAGAGGGGAAAATATGACATCACCACACTCCCCTGGAGGGCACCACGAGGGTCCTCGTGCCATAAACTTGAGTATGAGCAGCACTAAATTGGGGCTTTTGAAGTCACTGGGTTAATAAAAACACTGCAGTGGGGGGAAAAAAAACCAAAACACATCACAGTGGAGCACAATTAGACAAGGAGGAGAAAAACTTGCCAGTGGGACTTACTGGGGTCAGGGCACTGCCCTGGCAGTAAAATCCAGCCTCACAGGGACCAGTTGGCCCAGTCTGTCCTGGGGCAGCACAGTAGAAACCACGGGCACAGGGGCTGCACTCTGAAGGTCCAGACAGCCCCTGCTTGGCACTGGAGGTGCCCTCTGGGCAGGGCTCAGGCTTGGAGCTGCCCTGGACGCAGTAAAAGCCCTGCAAAACAAAGCCAGTTGAATCCATTCCGGGCTCTCCTTTTAAACAGACCCCAGCCAGCAGCTCCTTCCATCAGCTAAGCCAGAACAACTCACTGCTGGGCAAGGTTTGGGCTGTGCCATGGCAGGGGAGTCACTGTAGTGCCCAGGTGGGCTTGGTTTGCAAACATCTTCCCCCTCTGTGCTGGAATTATCCCAGAAGCTGCCTGGCATGCAGGGGAAGGAGAAGGGGAATCCAGTCCCTGGAGGGCAGCTGTAGCCAGGTGGGCAATCCCCTGTCTGGGAAGCAAAATACACAGTCAGGCTTTGTCACCTCCTGCCTGAGGAAGAGGAATCTGCTCACGTTCAACACGGAGAGATCCAAGTTTTAATCTCAAATTTTAATAACTTGGTGGGGTTTTTTCACTGCAAGAAAGTGGGGCAATAAAAAAAATTAAAAAAGAAGGAAATCTACAGTCTTGCCAGTAAAATTCTGATCATGTAGGATGATTATTTTAGGTGAGACGGTTTTAAGGTAAAATCCTGTCATTGAGACAGGCCCTGCATGTTTTGTCCATGCAGTTGTGAGGAAGATGCTTTTCTCCCACACTTGGGGAAGAGCTGTAAGTGGGACAGAGTTATCACCTTTCTCTTCAATAAAACCATGGATTCATCCACATGGCAAAGAATCCACCTTCATTATTTTTACTCTTATTGAGACTTCTTTTTTTAACAGCTATTAATATTTCATTCTTTCCAGGGACAAAACAATCACAGTGAAAGAATACCCCAAACTCATTAGATAAGGAGCAGCACCAATTCCTGACCCTCTGAACTCTCTTTCACAGCCTGCATTGACAGGCAGGAGGCAAAGCAAAGACAGAAAACAGGCATTAAACTTGCTGGGAGAACCTGGGCTGCACTTACAGGGTGGGGAATCCCTGGAGGCTCCATCCCATCTGTGTAGCAGTATTTCCCTGCAGGGCAGGGGGAGCATTCCTCAGCACTGCTCAGCCCCCTCTGCTCACCAAAAGTGCCATTGGGGCAAGGCTTGCCATGCAAACCCTTGAAAGGAAAGAGAAAACTGGGGGTTTAACAGACTGGTGTGACTGCTGCAGCCCACAGCAGGTAAAGCTGCAAAAATAATTCAGAATAATTGTACACAGCACCTCAGAAAGCGTTACCCTGATATTATTAACAGCTTTATAAAAAAACACAACTAGTAGGAAAGGTTCTCCATAGCAAAACTCATCCCAGTGCAGACTGGGTGAATTCCAAGGGCAGATCCACTTACAGTATCTCCCTGGGGACAGTAATATCCTCGTGGGCAGGCATTTTCAGTGGGATCTGGGACATCTGCCTGCCCCCCTGGGCACAGGAGACCTGCTGGGCACACCATGGCCACGAGCATCACCTCCAGGCTGGTGTGCTCACTGGAGCAGTAGTGTCCAGCTCGACAGGGCAAGCAGGAGGCTGAGCCTTGGTCCTGCAACAGGGAAGGATCCACTTTTAGAGTGTAAAAGAACCCCTTTGCACATCTGTGAAGTTGTGTTGAGGCCCAAAATGAAGGAAATGAATGCAAACCACTCTATGGCAAACCCAGCTCTTATAAAACATTTCACTGTGCTCAGTAATACCACAAGTAACACAAAGACTTCCATTTCAAATTCCCTGAACAGCAACAGCATGGAATTCCATGCCTTCACCCTGCAAAAAGAAAGCCTGTGCTTCACAAATGGGAATCAGGCCCCATCATGCCTGTGGATTATCCTTGCAAAGGGTTCTGACCCTCAGGAACAGCCAATCCAACACCCTCTGCCAGCAGGAGCAGGGGAAAACACAGACACATTCCCTCATCTTCCTTTGTTACACCGAACTCCAAGTGCAAACAAGAAATAATCTGGGTCTCTTTGCCACACACCAATCTCCAGGCATCTTTTATCTCCTCTCCAGCCTCAGCAAAGGGTTCCAGTGACAGCCACCAAATTTGTGCCGTGATAGAAACTGCTCTGGTGGAGGCACCAGGGTCCTCTGACAGCAGGGATGAGCCCACTTGCCATCAACAGGGAAGCATGGCAATTATCACTAGAACAAGAGCGGTTTTGGGGCAGACAACAAAAAACAGACCTCAGCATCTGTTTCTAAGAAGGTCTGTGCCATCATGCCATCACTGACCCCCTCTGAGGCCCCATCCTGTTGTTCTACCTCTCAGAGAAAAAGGTGTAACTTCACTGCAATCAAACATTCCTGTTAGAGCAGCAGTGAAGTGGAGGTGGCTGCTTTTTGCCAGGGTAAAAATGTGCCATGAGAACCCAAAGCTCTGCACAAATTCCCCACTCCCACCCCCAAATTCCCAGACCCATCAGGGAAGGAGAAGAACCTCCCCTCAGAGCTCCCCTCTGTGCCAAAATCCAGCCAGCAGAAGCCAGGAGGAAGCTGTTGGTGCTTACTGAGAAGTTGCCAGCCCCACAGGTCCTCGGGGTGACGGTGCCAGGCTGGGGGCAGTGGTACCCCCCAGGGCAGGGGGTGCAGTCTGCAGCCCCCTGTGCCCCCTGTGCCGAGCGGTAGGAGCCTCTGCAGGGGAGAAAACACAACAGAGCCAGGGTCACAAACAGCAGCCAAGGGAGCAAGGCAAGCTCAGCTCACCTCCAGCCTGCATTTGAATAGAAAAATGTGCTATTTCTGCAGAAAGAAACTGCCTGACACAGACAAAACTTGCCTGGTCCACCCAGTAACAGCACAAGGGAAAGGAATGTTTATAGAGTTTCCAGTGCAGAAAGATAATAATGACAAGCAGAGGAGTTCTGAAACGCCACAAAGTGGTATTTTCCTTTATACCTGAACCATGCCCTGCACTTACACTGGGCAGAGCGCTGGTTTGGAGGTGCCACTGGTGCAGAAAGCCCCTGCAGGGCAGGCAGAACAATCTTCCTCCCTGCCATTCCCCAGCCGGGTGCTGTAGGTTCCTGCAGGGCAGGGGAATTGGGTGCCCCTCCATGAACCTTCCCAAAAAAAAACCCAAAAAAAAAACAAAACAGGAGAGAACCATCCTCATGCTTAACACAGCCTTGAAAAGGGAAGGCAGCAAGGCCTCCTGGTCTTTGTTGTTATTGTCTACGTGATTTATTTGTAAATACATATTTATATATAAAAACATCACCACAGGTCTGAGAACAACAACAAAATCAACATTTAGCATCTAGTGCAGAAAGTTTCAAAATTATGATTGTGATTGTACCATACACTTGATTGGGCATTTCAATTCTTTGCAAATTAAAGGGGAAAAAAACCTGACACAAGTGTGCCCAGTTATATATATATATATATATATATACAAATATATATAAGAAAATAACAGTAGTGTATATTATAGTAATTAAATAAATTAAATAAATTTAATATTTAAATAATTAAATACTATATAATTGATATGTTATTATATATAATAGTAGTGCATAAAATATAAACATGACATTTTATAAAAATATAAAAATACACAGTATAAAATATAATATATAATAGCATATGTAATATGTATTTATATAATATATAAACTTATAAATATATAATACAATATAGTATAGAATGTAAATAGTCAATAATAATGGTATACAATATAAATAGAAAATATGCTAATAATAGTATATAATGTAAATTATAAAGTTATATAATATATAAATATTAGATGTATATAATAATCATATATAATATAAAAATAATAGTATAAAATATTGGCTATACAGAAGGGACATTCTGCCATCCCACTCCACACCAAAACACGCTCACAAAGCCAGTGAGTGATTTTATCAGAGCCCACCAAACCCCCAAGGGCAGAACTGAAGCCCATCTCCCTCCCTGCTGCCCGAGGCTGCCTCACCTGGAGGGCAGTAGTGCCCTGAGCTGCACATGCCACTGGGACTGCGGGCTCCTCCGCCACAAAACCAACCTGCAGGGCAGGGCAGACACTCCTGTGCCCAGCCCAGGCCGGTGCTGTTGCTCCAGGTGCCCGGGGGACACTTGTGCTGGCTCGGCTGCTTGGTGCCAGGGGGGCAGTAGTGACCGACTGGGCACGGGCTGGGGGGCTTCTGCTTCCCCCCTGTGCCTGCAGACACCAGGGCAAAGGTGAGAGCAGCAACTCCACACAACCAGTTTGTGCCTTTCCTCTATTTGAAATAACAGCGTTTTCTGGGATAACAATAATCTCTTCCTTCTATTTAAAAGTGGCATAGCAATAATTAACTCTCCCTGTCGATGGGAGGTTGCTCAATCACAGGGCTGGTTACTAAAGCAATTATTCATCGACTCAAGTGTCCTACGCCGTGCCCTGTCCAGAGCTGGTGCAGACATTTAAGTGAAGGTTTCACCCAACAATAAGCTAAACACTGTAAAATAAGAAATGTGATTGAATGAAAATAATATATTAAAATACATTAAGCCAGTGAAAACTGGCTGCTTTGAGGTCATGAAGTTAAAGCAGTTACCACTGATGGCATAAAGAGAAAACTTCAGAGTAAAATTAACTTACCCAGTTTTTATAATCTCTGCAGTCACTAAAGGAGCAACTTTTGCCCATTTCCCATCGCTGTGATAACTCACTGACCTGCTCTAGGATTTACTGGTGGGCTCTGGGATACCCCCAAAAACCAGAGCTCACTTTGTGCTGAGGCCACATACCTCTCCCACAGACAAATCCTGCAGGGCACGGTTCACACTGGGACTTGGAAAAGAGGTTGAAGTCATTGCCAAGTGTTCCTGGGGGACAGGCATTGCTGGGAGAGTGAGGGCTGGATGATCCCACCGGGCACACGTACCTGAAAACACAGCAGGGCAGCTGGGACAGAGGGTTTGATGCAACAGGGGATGGAGGTGAGATATATTCACAGGCAGACAGAGAAGGACAGAAGACAAGCCAAGCTTACCCAGGGGAGCACTCTGAGTCAGGCTGGGCTAAGCCAGCCTGGGTACAAGCCCTCCCTGCCGGGCAGGCTCTGCAATCCGAGGCCTCATCCTGTCCTTGGAGAGGATTGTACGTCCCTGCCTGGCACGGGACTGGAAAAGTGGCTCCAGCAGGACAGAAATACCCAGCAGGGCACTTCAAACACAACCCAGCTCCTAAAGGAGAGAAGATGTTGGAGGTCACACAGGGATCACGACCTGCTGAGCTCAGAGGGTCCTACAAAATCTGCTTTCACTGATGATCCTTCCTACTCAGAATATCTTGTGACTCTGTAGGAACTTTGATGGAGGTTCATTCACATCAGGAATAAAGCTCCTGCAAAGCCAGGAGGTGGTGGTGTTGGATTAGCTGAGTGTCAATGGCTCGTGGAAGCTGTAAAACCATCTGTTCAGAGTTCAGATAAAAATGAGATACATTAAAAAATAAACAAAAACATCAGCCTGGAAACACCCTCTGCTGCAGGTATATTTAATAATCACGGCGTGCCTGGGGCTCAGTTGTAAGGGAGCCTGGGATTTCCATGAAAGCTGAGCTATTTCCACCTTTGCATCCTGAATATAGAGAGATGAAGGGGTTTTTTCAGGCTGGAGATACTCAGTGCAAACACAGGGATACCAGTTCAATCTGTGCTCATCCCTAAAACCTCGGGTGTTAAACAAAAGGAGCTTGTATTGTAACCTAAAGGAACATCAGTAAGATCAATACGTGATAAAACAGCAATCCCTTGCTGGTGTTCCCGTGTTCACAACATGCATTTCATTACAAAAGGTTCCCAAATGTTTAACTTGGTGAAAAGGAAGCTCAATTTGAGCGCAGGAGTGGTTGCTTTCAACAACAAACAAAGCAAATAGAGCAATTCCAGGGGAAGGGAAAGCTGGCTGAGGATGGCTGTTCCCTGGAGAACTTTCAGGGTGAACCCCTGCTGCCTTCCAAAATGCTTGTCAAGGAGAGGCTCAAGCATTTGCAATGTGCCTCTGCAGGCTGGAACAGAGCCTTGCAGCACCCAAAAAATATCAGGATTCATTAAGATCTGGGCTTCCCCTCCCCACATGGAAGGCACGGGCTCAGATTAGGATTCCTCCGGGTGCAAAGCGAGTTGAAGTGTCATCTCTCCCTCTCCCTCCACCCACTTGCTCATTCCCACCCCTCAGGAAAATCTCCTTATTTCCTCCTCACATTCACACTGCACAGCCCAGATGAACACAAGGTTCAAAAACCTCAGTGGGACAGGGTTTGAATTTCTTCAGACTGTAAAACTGCCCCGCTCTGAGCACAGCAGCTGAATCAACACACCTGAGGGGGCTGAGCTCTGGGACCCATTCAAAACTGCCTTAAGCTGACAAAAAGCTTCCTGATGTGGAGCTGCACCACCAGCAAATCCAGGGGGACTGCTTTTTTACATAACCTGAACCCATCCCACTCGGCTACAGGGACAGAGAATTTCCATTTCTTGACACTTTCTGGAGGTGATGGAGCTCAAAACAGGATTAATAGTGTGGCTTCCTGCACACTTCAGTGAGATCAGTGAGGGAACAGATTTACAGCACAGAATCCCAGGATGGTTTGGGTTGGAAAGGACCTTAAAGATCACCCAGTTCCCCCCCCCGTCATGGGCAGGTACACTTTCCACTAGCCCAGGTTGCTCCAAGCCCCGTCCAACCTGACCTTGGACACTTCCAGGGATGGGGAATCACAGCTTCTCTGGGCAACCTAAGAATATCATCTCTAACCAAAGCATATTCTCTATTTTTCAGGGCCAGGACCTGCTGTGCAAGAAATGTGATACAGACACACTTGGTTTCACTGAGAAATAAGTGTATCCCACTTAACACCCAGCACTGCAGATGGTGTGGCTGACACCATCCAAGCCATCATCTACCCCATGGAAGCCTATTTGAAACATCCCCTGGCTTATCTGAGTTTATTCCCGTGTCTCCTGCCTATTTTACAGCATTATCCTACCTTTGCCAAGTGTTCCTGAGGAGGGATGACAACATCATTAAAAGGAGTAGTACAGGCACAGCAGAACAGCTTACATTATTAAACCCAAAGAGTTTTTAAACTCTAATTTACTTTGCAGCTCCTACAATGGTTGGGGTTTTTTTTTTTGTTTTTTTTGTTTTTTTTTCCAGATGCCACGGGGCCTGTCTCTTGAATTTTGCTGTCTTGATGAGATGTGAGGTTTGCTCCTTGCTGCACCATGGAAATGCACTTCTGGGTTTAATTTCAGAAGTGGGTGGAAGACGGTGATTGCTTAGAGTGTGCTGGTGAGTAAAAAAATACACCATTCAACAGTCAAGGCACTTTAGCAGCTGAGTCATTTGCTAGAAAAGAAATTATCTGAGAAAAAAAGATATGGATTGATTTGAAAGAGATAATTGTTTTCTTAGCACACGAGGGGAATAACCCAGTAGATGCAAAGGGAGACTGAGCACCTGAACTCCAGGTTTCTGCTCCTGGTGATTTGTGACCCAGGGTAAAACATTCTGGGCTTGGGCCAAGGTTTATTTTAGTGAATTGAGCTCATTCCCTGAATCTCCCTCTATTTTCATATTCATGCAGCACTTTTAGAGGTATTTTTAAGCCATTGTGAGAGACACTGAGATAGTCTGAAGTGCTCAAACTCAGCCTCAGCCACATGTGATTATTGCAACAGAAAGCCAGGTCTCCCTTGGAAGGTCTCCCTTCCACGTCTAAGCAAAGATTCAGCACCAGAGAAAACTAACAAACCTCTGTTATTCTATCCTTTAAAATTATTTGCACCATTACTAAACTGCAAAAATCTAGTTGCTTTCAAACATTTCCCAGTCATGAGGATGACTCAGCCCCACTGTGTACAAAACAAAGTTCTACTGATTTAGAAAACCAAAGCAAAACAAAAATATTTAGAAGGAAACATCACAGCTGGAAGTCTGTGGGAGCCTTGTGCCTCCTGCCTTTCCTGCACTTCAGAACCTTGCACACTGTTTCATCTGCTTGGCACTTCTAAACTCTCAAGGGCAGGGCTTCTCCAGCTTCTAAAGGCAGAAATTCCAGTGCTTTTTCGCTGTTACAACATTAAAGTTTTCCCTAATCTGCACCCTCGTTTCTCCTGGCTGCAAGAAAGGGTTGGGATTGATTCAAACCCGAATAAAGAACTCCTCTCCCAATGGAAACCTGTGGACAGCTTACTTTAATTGTGTTACTCCTCTGTCCCCACTCATAAGGGAGCTTGAAAACGAGTCTGAGTGAGGAGATGTGCTGTGAAAGTTGATTAATGGTGTTAAAAAAGTGTCTCCCATGCAAAGTTGGCACAGCTGAATGAGTTTTAACGGGCCAGGTCCTGACTTTGACCTGCTGGGTGACTTCAGCACATCCTTTCAGGCTGCTCCTTGGTTTTACTTTCTACTAAAAGCACAGTAATCACCTTTTCCTTCCACTGCCACCTGTTTAATGTCTCTACATTGGGAGGAATCAAAATAACAGAGCCCATATCCAGGAGGGCAGATCCAGGGAAATAAGGGGATGGTGAGCACTTGTGGGTGTAACAGCTTTGTAATCCCTGAATGCTTCACCACCAACCTGGTGACTCAGAGAAATTCCACAGGTGCTCCAGACCCTTCAAAAGGATGGATTTAGCAGTGAGAATTAGTCCTCTCACCGCCCAAAATGCATCTTTTATGACACAGACCTGGTAAGAATGAGGAGCTGCTGCTGGATGTGTCAAGTCCCTCTCTGGGCTTGAAGCTCCCAGCTGGGCATGGAGGGACTTCGAGGCCATCAGGACAGAAGTGACCTGTGGAGAATTAAAAAAAATCCCACCCTGTGATTGAGAAATGACATTCTGAACAACTCAAACTATCCCTGCTTCAAAATATGTCTTCCTTTTGTGAAAACTGAGCTGGCAGAGAAAATTCAAACATTTGACACACCACGGCATTTTAAAATTCAAATCATATAATGAAATTTCAAGCTAAATTAGTTACTTTTATTAGCATCATTAGAGTTAATTGTTCTGTCTTTCTGCTCCAATTTTTCTGCTCTCTCCAAGATCAGGGGGATTAAGGATCAGCTGAGGTGTTCCTGCCCCTGCTCTAAGGGCCACGCTGCTCTCCCCAGTTCAACACACCACCTTTCACTTAAAATCCTCCTGCCAGTTGTACCCTGAGTGATGAAATGCTCACACTCCCCTAGAATTAATTACTCTTTCCAAGTAAGGTTTCGTAGAACTTGACAATCAAATGGCTTACTAAACTCCAGATGGATATTTGAGGGGTAAAAAGAGGAAAAAAAAAGGAGGACTTAACTGTGGCTTGCAAATGTTGAAATCCATTGCTATGTCCCAGCATAGCAATGACACTTCACTCACACAGGCAGCACTAAATACAAAGATTATATATAATTAAAGTCAGTCAAACCATGAAAAATAATGCTGGGAACCTCAGGCCTCTCCTGCTTGTGATGGGATTCAAACTCCTTATCTAAGGGCTTTGCAGCTGGGCTGGGGGACTTAGGATTTAGGAACACAAGTGGGACTAATTCTAAGGCTGAAGCATTGATTTCCAGCATGGGATACCCTGTACCAAAAATCCCAGGCATTGGAAATAACAGAAATCCTCTGTTCTATTCTCTTACCCCTCTATTACAGCCATGAGCTCCTGAGATCTTGGTCTACAGGATCTCTTTAGCTACTCCATTCCTCCTTCTGCTGGACAACCTGTACCCAGAGTACAGGAAATCTTCATTATTTATTAAGAGGGATTCTAATTACAGGCATAAGAATCAAGTTACGGAGTTCAGTGGCTCTGCAGGAGGTTTCATCAACCTGGAGCTGCTGCTGAAACCACCTTCCCATGCAGAACAGGAGAGAGAAAAGCAGTGGTAGGACCTCAAATTGACAACTGCATCCCTGCAGTGCCAGCACTCACCCTTTCACAGGCTGCCAACTACACCACTACCCCCCCATAAAGCCTTTTTGCAAGGGGTCAGCTGGGTAAGGAATTGTGAATTGAAATCTGAGGTATGTGGAGGGAATGATTTGCAATATGGGTGCTACTTGCAGCACCAAACTTCTCTTAGCAAGGACTGTATTGGAGAATGGGACATGATTTACGTGGAGGACACCAAATCACCACAGTTTATCAGGGAAAAAGCTGCCCTTGGACCACCAAATCCCCACTGGGCTTATTCTCTGGGATGTATAAGCAACATGCCAGGATTTTAATGCTGCAGGAAACTCGCTCTTTATGGGGAAACTACACCAAATAGCCATTGAGTTCTGAAAGGCTTATCCTGCACTCTCACTGAAGTGAGCCATAATGCCAAAATGTAATGGCTTTACAACAAAAACCTCTTACTCTATTCCCCTGCTGCCTAATTCAGCACCTCAGTGACACTCTGACAACACACTGCAATTTCCTAAACACGGGTTTATTTGGATTTCTTTGAGAGTGTCAAGCAGAAAGAGAAATTAGGTAAGAAAATCAGTGTTCCCCTATCTGATTCCTAACGCCTACAGCTCTCACTAGAAATGGGTTCTTGTGATAGCCAGTGAATCGAGGTCCTGAAGTGGAGAAAGCTATAGCTGTGTGTGAATCAATTTTCCAGATGATAGGTTAGAAATCAGAGCGTGAGGGAGCTGCTTTCTGTGGGAGAAGGGAAAGCAGGAGCTTCGCTCATCACTCAGCAACATCTGCACACTCAGGCACCCTGGTTTCGATCCCAGGGCTGCATCAGCTGCACCTGTCCCATAAACCCAGGGGAATTCCTGGTGTTCTCTCATTTCCATTCCCTCCTCTTCATGAACTCCTCTGCTGCTCCATCTCAGGAATCAAATTTAACCTCCAGTTTGACTGTAACACAAGGAGCCTCTCTCTGCTCCACTACTGAGAAGTTTTAACAGAGCAGAGCGTCATTTCAGTCGAAGTTCTGTGTTTTAAAGCCTGCAAAAGATGCCTGTGAGCTGCACTTACCTGCTGGGCAGGGCTGGCAAGGCAGAGGGGCTTCAGCTGAGAAGGAACCAGGAGTGCAGGTGACACAGAGAGTGCGGCTTGGGTTTGGCTGCTGACCAGCCAAGCAGTGCTGAGGGGAAAAAAAAACCACATTCATAGCACCAGGAGGTCTAATTTGGGCCATTTCTGCTCTGTCCCAAGAAGGTCTGAGTCAGGAAAAAGCCCACTGCTGAATTCTGTCTTCTCTGCCCTCTCCCTTCCCAGCTCTGCTTCACCTCTTATTCCCCAGGGACGATTTCTAGAAGGAAAAATGGTGCCTTCAACACCCAGCTTTGAGTTCTCAGCTGAAAGTGCTCATGGTGCCAGATAAGCTGAGCACTAGCACTGTCAGAATTTAGGGGAAAGTATTTATTTCTTTTAAAAGAGGCCACTTGTATCAGGAAAAGGTTCTTCCCCCAGAGGGTGGTTGGCACTGAACAGGCTCCCCAGGGTTTGGTCACATCCCCAAGGCTGCCAGAGCTCCAGGAGTGTTTGGACAACACTCTCAGGGACAGGGTGGGATTGTTGGGGTGTCTGTGCAGAGTCAGGGGTTGGACTGGATGATCCTGGTGGGTCCCTCCCAACTCAGGGTATTCTGTGGTTCTGTGAAGGTCTGAGACCTGCTACACCACTGCAGTGTTTTGAATGCTTTTCTTTGATGAAACAAGATCCAAATCCTTCTATTAAACCAGGAGAGTCTGTCCCTTCTTGTCAAGACCTTCATGTTCATGTCCTGCAAGAGCAGAGGAGTGAAAGTTTCATCCTTGGAGCAGAACATGCTCGGTCCGTACCTGCCTGCTCCGTCCATCTGGGCAGACAAATCTCTCTGGACATTCCTGACACTCCAGCTCCCCCTCTGGGGAGTGCTGGCCAGGCCCACAGCTCCTCTGGACACCAGTGTGTGGATCACAGGAATATCCCTCAGGACACGCTCTGCAGCCAGCTCTGCTCTCCAGGCTGAGATACCCATCGGGACAAACCTGCAGGGACACCACGGGACCCACGTCAAACAGCAGCTCCAGGCACCCTCAGCTCCAGTGCCAGGAAGAAAATGATCCTGGATCATTTTCAGTATCTGCCCTGTGTGCTCCTGAGAGTCCCCCACACGTGGTTTTTTCTGCCAGTGGGATAAGCAATGCATAGATACCTGGAAGGACAACCTGCTTTCCCTGAGCCAAATCAGAGACAAAAAACACAGGGCAGGAGTTTCCTGAAAAACTTTCAAAGCAGACTTCAAAATCTGGGAAGAAGCCTGGAAATCAAATAATTCCAAGTAGGTGTAAGAAGTACTGTTTCACCTCTTGCCCTCCTGCTCCCCTGCCCCTCAGCTCACCTGGCAGGCTGTGATGTTTCCTTGAGCAGTCAGTTCATTGGCAGTTCCCAGTGGGCATTTCCTTGGAGCTGCCTGACCTCCAGGGCAACTGGATCAAAAATAGCCAAGTTATAAAATTACAGTCTTTAATCTCTTTGAAATTTCACCCCAAATCAGCCAGGATGGGTGTTGTTTAAACACAGGAACATCCCCCTCACCCACTGCTCAGACAAGTGGGTTTGCCCACAGAAATATGGATTTAAGTCAGAGCTTTCCAGAACCTCAGGGGGTTGCAAAGGATATGCAGGAGTTCAAGCAGCATTGCCTGGATTGCACACACAAGGACAGAATTTGTGATGGAAGATGTGGCAACCTGAACTTAGTTTGTACAAAACCTGTCTTCCATAACCTGCTTTGAGACTGTGCCTGAGAACTCAGCTGTCATGGAATCAGAGAAACATTTAGGTTGGAAAAGACCATTTCTACTCTCCTTCCAAAGCCCTGCACAGCATTTTAAATCGAATTTTAAAGGTTTTCCTCACCAGATGATTATTCATATGTAAGAAATGACACTTTGTGGGGGCTTTTTCTTTGTGCCTCACCCCCTGATGTGCATTATGAGATGAACTCTCAGAATTTTCTCAGTGTAAAATGTTCTCATTTCTTTTTTCAGGAGTGTAAGTGCAGAGCAGGAGGGAAGGAAGGGGACTCACTAGAAACCTGTTGGGCACTCCAGGCAGTTTCCAGCTGTGTAATAATGTCCCTGCCTGCAGTCTATGACACAGTGGCTCTGGCAGTCCAGGCTGCAACCTGCTGAGGGGGAAGAGGCCCCTGGGAGGAAGAAAAAGAAATAAATTTAAGGTACAATGAACAAACATCAAGACTTCAAGCTAAATGGCCGGTTATTATCACACCATGGTGGAATATCACTATTTCCCTGCCCATTATAACACTCATTCTTAGGTTTTGATGGTTAAAATTAAGTAAAGGTTTTTTCTTCCAGAATTAAAAGCTGTTCCTTTAAGATTTCTAGGTAAATACTCTGAGCACAAAATTCTGGGGAAAATCCTAATTTCAGACACTTTATCAAACTAAACCATCTGCCCTCTGTAGGCAGCAGAGAGCCTTTTCCATGTCTTTATCAGCTTCAGAAAAGCTTTTATTTTGTTTGCCAGAAAGCTGAAAAACTCAGTTTTCAAGAGAGTGCAAGCAGCACAGATGGGAAGAGCCAAGGGGTGAAGGAGGTGCTGCACTGCTGTGTAATTTCATAATTTCAGCCAAGATTCTACTTCTTTCTCTACTTCAGCTCTTCAATCCACACTGGAAAGGCAAATTTCCCCACCCCTCCTTAGCAAGTCCCTTGACTTCACATCCTGCAAGAGGATGGTGATAAATCCTTGACAAAGAACGAGGCATCCAAAACCTGAACTTAAAAGAAATGAACAAACACTGAGTTATTTCCCTTTTTGCATTTCTCACCATCAGATTTAGATTCTGGCATGAAACTGTCCTGCTGAATTCCTTTGTGTGTTAAAAGTGAGCTTCGCTATGGCAACCACGAGGGTTTCACGTGAAGTTCCTCACAAAGTGCCTGAGCAACAAAACCTGAGTGTGCAGGACAGGGAGGAGAGGTCCAGGCTGTTCCACATCTCAATAAACGCCTTGGTATTAATTATTGTTATCTGAACACACTGAGATGTTCAATTTTTTCTCTCTCTTTAGTAAATTAAAACCTCTCACTGAACACATCCCTCACCTTCTCTGTCTTTTCTCCTGAGTGACAGAAAGATTGTGCATAAGAAAAGATGGTGCAGCCAGAGTTTATGACCAGAACGAGCTGAACAAGTGCCATCCTTAATGCCTTTTAGCTCTGAGAAGGTAACAGCATCATCATCAATTAAAACCAAACCAAAACCACAAAGAATTCCGCCTGTCCCAAGAAAGTTCCCCACTCACCGCTCAGGAGGATGCTAAGGCTAGAGAACACAACCAGCCAGCTCAAAGCACGAGCCATGGGAGCTTGTAAACAGTTCTTTAAAAAAGAAAAAGCTCAGAGCTTGCGTTTAAGACGTTTCTTGAGCACCTGGCGTTGCCTTTGTCGGAGCTCGGTGTAAGCCGATCCCTCCCAGGTAACCACTTCCCAACACAGCCCGAAGTGAAACAGCACACCGAGCTGCTGGAAGACGGGATGGACAAGGAGTTAATCCCCTGGAAACCCCCTGCAGCACCGCCGAGGTTAAAATGTGAGAAAACTCATCTGAGCAGGAGATAACGCACCCCTGCCTTCAAGCACCCGCGAGGCAGGAGGTTTGAAAACACATTTATCATCTCCCAGATCCGCCTGGCTGCCCGACGAGTTCGCCCCCGTGAAAAGGACCCTGCAGGGTCACAAATGGCTTCTTTCTCCTCAGCACCCAGGTGAAATGCTCCCTGTTTGCCAGCTATTTGTTCTGCACTTTTAGGGGTTTTGCTGGAATCTGAAAACCCGGACAAACTCTTTCTGTAATGTTCACAACACAAATAAGATGCTCATTCCTCCATCCCACAGGAGCATCTGTGAAGAAACCTGTATGGCTCCTGACGTGTCTGCTCACTTCTGGAAGCCCTTCTAGAGGGAGTTGGGGGCAACTGCAGAGGTCAGAGAAAGCAAAGCTCCTGTTGGGAAGGGCAGTCCTGCCACCCACAAGGAATTTCACTCTGTGCCTGCCTGACTTCACTTCCTGAAGAAGACCTTCCTAATTTGGACCAGAACATGAAGTGCATGTTATCCTTGAGTTGTTGAAGTCCACTGGTGAAGGTGATGGACAACAGGAGGGAGGAGAAGCTCTGACCATCATGGGATGTCTACAGAGAGGCCTCACTCCTGCCTTCCCAACTAGCAAAGCACCATCTGTTGCACTTTATAAAGACTTTAATTAAACTCCTCCAGTAGAACTCAGATGTGTCTTTTCTTCCTATTCTACAACTATTCCTGGAAATCTCTGCAATTATCTTATATTACAGACAAGAATTGCCAATTAAAACCTAATCAACACAGTGTAAAGGCAGGCACCAGGCCAAGTGCTTCTAATTTTCTTCCCATTCTCGACCTGCTTGTCCCTTGTACTTGAGAAAGTTCAGAAAAGATGGGAGGCGCCGTGGGAGGCAGAAAAGATAAGAGAAATGGTTTGATCCACTTTGTTTCCAGTTCCCTAATTAAGTATGGAACGCTCAGATTTATGCAGAGATAGCTCACAGGTCAAATTCCCTCCTGTGACGTGCAATAGAATAAGAGAGAAGGATTTGCTGTTTTGAGAGATGAAATCCTGACCCTGTGCTTGAGGATGGTCCTTCCTCTGATCAGCTGAACTGGAGCTCTGAGGGGGTTGGTGACTTGCTGCACATCACACACCCGTTTAGTAAAGCACAGAGCCATCAAGGATCCCCAATTCCAAGCACAAACCCCTCAGAATAGGTTGTGACTCGCTGGATCCGCACCGATTTTGAAATAATCCCCACTTTCACTGGCTCCTGCTGTTGGCAACAAGAAAAATCTGCCCTGTTGTACTTCTTGAGAGAGCAGAACAACCTGGGACTCCCTCCAGGATTCTGGGATTCTGTTTCACACAGCAGCAGCATCACTCATCCCAAACATCCCCAAAATCCTGCCCAGTTTACACTCATGGTAAGCCACAGCCATCTATTCCTGCCTATAAAGAAAACTTGCTATTATTTCATCCTCTTCTGTCGAGAAACAAATAGACACAGATTGAATTATAAATCAATTCACAGGAGTGTGAATATGGCTCCAGCAAGGGAAATAAATAGGCATGTCTCCTTCTCCATTGCTGGTTTGGAGGCCTCCCAAGGATCAGCATATTCATCCCTCTGGGATACAAATAGCTCAGCTTCCAGCACTGACACACTCATCTTCCCTCCACTCCACTGTTGCTCCAGCAGACCTGACTGGATTTGGAAAAGCTCTGATTTTTCTTGAACTGTTTGGTCAGTCCTAAAGAAACCAATCAGCCCTGTAATATTTGTAGTCCTTAAAACAAACAAACAAACCAACCAACCAACCAACAAATAACAGGGAGGCATCATTTTCTGTGATTTGAACACCTAAAAAACGTTCTGCTCAGCTCAGTGGCACCAGTGACAACCTCCCAGGGGTGGAAGCAGCAGCACCACCTGCCCCCAGGGCAGGGAAATTGGGGGGTGAATGCACTGCAAGGCACGGGAATGATCTGGAACCTTTGCAGAGAGCTCCAATCACTCACCCTGAAATTGGTTTCCATTTCCACATAGGCAATTTTCCTCAGCCATCAAACCTGATAAAACAGCCTTTTTTCTAAATGAAAAATATGCAAATACCCAAAATTGCACATCTCGTTTCACCTACAGCAAGTCTTCCAAGGGGAAAGGGGAAAGGAGCCACAGGCAGCTCAGAGCTGGGGGAGAGGCAGGAGCTGGAGATCACACTGGGAATGATTTTCTTTATTTATTTGTCAGATATAAGTTCTGGTACTACCAACAGCTTATAGGGACTTCAATACTTCTGTGACTTTGACTCTAAAAGTTCTTGTACAGGGAGGAGCCTCCTCCCACCCCCTTCCCTCTCTTTTTTCCATTGTTATTATTATTATTATGCAGATAGTGCTGCTCAGAAACCTGTAGATTAATACATTATAATTCCCCTTTTAAAGCTGCAAACATCTTTCCTGCATGCATCTACATAAAAACACACCCTCTCATAAAAAATAACTCTGCAAGTCCCTTCCAGTGACACCCATAAACCACCTGAATAATTCCCCATGGGTTTGGGGGCAGCTGCAGTGCTTCCCTTCTGTGCATCCCAATGACCTGGTAACACCTTGGAGAGAAAGATGGGGTTGAACATCCCAAAATAACAACAACACTTGCCAACAGGAAAAACCCACAGATATTTTCCTGCAGCAGGTTGAGCGCAGAGAACAAAAAAATATGAGGTTTAACGTGAGACAGTCATCTTCAATGACACGTTAAACACAATCAGAGAATCACAGAACAGTTTGGGTGAGAAGGGACCTTGAAGATCTTTTGGTTCCAACCTCCTTACTTGGGATGGAACAGCACACACAACACTGGACCATCCTTCCCAAGGAGCTGGGAGTTTTCCCCTGCTGCAAGAACCTGCAGCAGTAAAAGCAGCGGTGTAAAACCCCAGCAGAGCTTTATTTTGCACACTAAGCCCCATCCCTCCTAAGCTTACACAGTTAAATGCCAGATTTACAAAGGCAATAAACTACACAGAGGAAAATTTGATGGCGTGGCACAGAAAATCAGACAAGCCAGACCTGCAGACAAATTTAGATTAAGATGCAGCGCAGCTTTCCCAGCTGACACAGCAGAGAAGGCCAATGGGATTGGGGAGGGATAAGTAGGCAAAAAAAAAAAGTGGGGAATCATTGGCCCAGAGAAACCAACAGCAAAAATTCCTGACTTTCTACAGGGCTGAGATTTCACATAACACTGCATTTAACCAACCTGCTTTTATTAAACCCAGCTCTGGAACAGAGACTGGTGGAACCAACAACAAATAAGAAAGTGTTGCTGTATCAACAAAACCTCACAGCAATTCAAGTACAAACACGGTGTCAGAGGCAGTGAAGACAGACAAAGGCACTCATCCAAAAAAGGATGGCTGGGAGAAGCTGTCTGAACCACAGGTGTTTACAGCTCAAGTGAAAAATGCTGATAAAACCAGCCATTAATTTCTCTCAAACAGACAAGATGCACTTGTTTTGCTCTGTACCTGTTGATTAATCAATTCTGCCTCCTGCACCACCTGAAATCAAACTTGGAACACTTTG